TCACTGGTATTGTTAATAATTCTAGAACGCTGAACCTCTGCATGTGTTATAAAATGGATCTGCCATATAACTCAATTAGATCAACAACATTAACAACCAGTGTCGATTAGCTGATTTGGTTGTAGCTTTTTTTCTTTGTAGAGTTATTATTTTTATTGGTGTTATAATATTTTAAAAATCATTTTACTGTTTTATCTGTATTATTATTGTCTTAGTGTTGTTTTCTATTTTCTCTTTTTCTTACCTTTCGTAGTTGTTTTATTTATTTTTATCACTATTGTTCTTAATAGTTTCATTTGATTGTTTTGATGCGTTAATCTTACTTGTCTTAAAGTTTTCTAATAATAATAATAATAATAATAATAATAAAGGGTGGTTGATTGTAACTACATGAATTGCATAGAAACGAGTAGCTGATGCATATTAGCTCATTATGACATCATCTTATTAGTTTTACAAATACCTCTTTGATTTTCCTTCTGCACCTTTTTACAACCACTGATGTTCAGAAAAAAATATATAGCTTTTTATTTTTTTTTCTGAGGTTTGCAAGTTGGTAATGTAAAAATGTAAAAAAAATGCACCAGCAAAACAGAAATATATTGCATCTCATGGAAATGTCTTTAAATATCAAGTAAGATTTCTGCTATATCACCCACCCTTAGGTGTACCTAATACCTAGCAGCTTGGTATAGTTTTCATAGTTGTTACCATATGTGCTGCAATGTAGAAAGATATTTAAAATATCTTTAACGATACAAACCCATTTCCAAAAAAGTTGGGACGCTGTGCAGAACATAAATAAAAAGAGAATGCAATGATATGCAAATCATGTAAACCATATTTTTAAAGGAAAATACTACGAAGACAACAAATCAAATGTTGAAACTGAGAAATGTGATTGTTTTTCGAAAAATATACGCCAATTATGAATTTGTTGCCAACATCACGTTCCTAAAAAGTTGGGACGGGGCATGTTTACCACTGTGTTGCATCACCTCTTCTTTTAACAACACTCTGTAAGCGTTTGAAAACTGAGGAGACCAACTGCTGTACTTTTGAAAGTGAAACGTTTTCTCCTTCTTGTTTGATATAGAATTTCAGCTGCTCAACAGTTTAAGGTCTCCTTTGTTGTATTTTTCATTTCATAATGAACCAAATGTTATCAGTGGTGACAGGTCTGGACTGCAGGCAGGTCAGTTTAGCACCTGGACTCTTTGTCTCCTGGACTCTTTGTCTCTTGTGGTTTGGCATTGTCTTCCTGAAATAAGCAAGGGCTTCCCTGAAAAAGACGTTGTCTGGATGGCAGCATATGTTGACAAAACGTATATATCATTCAGCATAAATGGTGCCTTCACCCATACCATGTGCATTAAAGCACCCCTATACCATCATGAATACTGGCTTTTGAACTGTGCACTGATAACAAGCTGAGTGGTCTTTAATCCAGAGGACACAGTATCCATGATTTCCAAAAGGAATTTCAAATGTTGATTTGTTGGACCACAGGACACTTTTCCACTTCACGTCAGTCCATTTTAAATGAGCTCAGGCCCAGAGAAAGTGGCAGTGTTTCAGGATCCTGTTTATGTACGGTTCCCCCGTCTCAACTTTTTTGGAAACGTGTTGCTGGTATCAAATTCAAAATGGCATATATTTTTCAAAAAAGCAATACAATTTCTCAGTTTCAACATTTTATATGTTGTCTTTGTACTATTTTCAATTAAATATAGGGTTGAAATGATTTGCACAGCATTGTTTTTTTTTCATTTACATTTTGCACAGCATCCCAACTTTAAGTTGAAGGTAACCTGTCCTCCTCCACCAATCACTTACTGTTCATATGTTTATTAAAGTGACAAAAACTTTTGTATATTCAAGACATGTCTCATGAAAACTTTGGCTGATACTGATTTCAAAGAGCTAAACATTGACAATCGATAACATCAGCTCACAGACTTTATACTCAGATACTTTTAAGCAGTGCTTTACTTACTGATATTTGCCAATTTTCACACTTCATAAAGTCAAATAAGCAAGAGAAACTTACTGTCTTAGGATGCATATCCTATAATTTCTTTGTTCACTTAGGATACTTATGTAGTTTTATGAACAAAAAAAGGTCATCATTCACTTCTACATGACCATTTTTAACCTCTCTTTATCCCTCAGAATTAAACAGGCTGTTCTGTTTCAGTGCCTTTAAGACTGAATACCAACAAATGAACTGTCCACAGGACTTCAGTATGAATGGGCGAAGCTAAATCGTGGTAGGCTGAAAAGGTGAATATATGTGAATAAGTTGGTTCTTGTGACTTTGGAGAAAGTGAATTCAAAACGGGCTGTTTTGGGAGCACAGTGTCCATGAATATCCTGGGCAGTAAATGATATGTTTTGAAACTTTAACAATGTTTACATACTACTTCAAACTCCTTTATTATTTAAAACAGAACAAAAAAAAATCTGTTTTTCCTTTCTATGGGCTCTTTAAACAGTTTAAATATTGCAGCATTGAGGTGGGGGCTACCCAAAAAGTTTTTAGGTATGTGATAAACATGAATCTCTATCAACTTAATCAGAGAGCATGTACTCCTGTAAAGATGTGTGGGTGTTTATGAGTGAGAGAAATGCTGAAGTTAAAATCACGGCATGTACGCACCTCCCTACTGTGAGGCTTTAAATCCGTGATCCGTTGGAACAGTCGTCCTAGTCTCTGCCACTGCTTTGCCACAGATTAACAGTTTATTGCACAAATTCCCCATCAGCTTACAAAGTGACCTGCCAGTCCACCGTTTCTAAACACAGACACACACACACACACACACACACACACACACACACACACACACACACACACACACAGCACCTGCAAGGCATTTGAGACTTTTTTATGCACATAACACATTTCCTGTATATGAACGTGTTCAGTCGATACCACTCAGTGAGCTGTCAGATTCAGCAGTGTTGTTGAGCTGCCTTCTAGTGCTTACAGAGAGATTCTCAGCTGGTGACAGCTTCAGGTAAATTACACATCCATATGCAAAAGCTTGAACACCTCTGGTGATATGTTTTGTTGATTTCCAACTGAAAATAAGTCCTCTACAGAGAGGGCATTTTCAGTAAATGTTAGTGCACAATTTTCGCAGAGTTTTGAGTTTAATATATTGAAAAATGTAAACTTTTTACAGGCAAAATTGTGTTTTATTTTTCAGCCAATATGTTAAATTCAGCAAATAAAGTGTTCACCGCAGAGGATGTGAACCTATTTTACTTCAACAAAAGATGCCATTTGACCAGGGCACCCAAACCTTTGCAAATGACTGTATGTACACTACTTTGATATGTTTAGAATCATTTGGCCTCATTCACCAATATCTTCTTGCGTAAAAATACGTTATTGAGAAAAGCCCTAAGAAAAAGTCTACGTCATATTCACGACTTGTTCTTAAACCACAGAACTGTTCACACCTTTGTGCTCTTGAGTATGTGTAGATTCTGTTCGTACCTAAGAACAAATCCCAAATAAGAAAGCACTGGTTAATGTCAGAATCTTTGCATTTTGTAAGAAGAAATGTCTTTTTTGACAACATGAAAACCAGCCGCCTGGTCAGCCTATAACAGTTTAGCCTCCCCCACTCACACCGAAGTAATAAAGAGTGTTTCAGCCCAGACTGTTTTTGAATCAGATACACAGTACAGGGCGGAACTGAGCAGAGCAGAACAAATCAGTCTTACAGACACAGCTGTTTAATTCTAAAGGATAAAGAGAGGTTTGAAAATGGTAGTGTAAAAAATTAATTATGGCTGCTGTTGGTACAGAAACCCAAGCAAACACTATATGTGGACCTCAGAGGGAAAAAAAAAAACAAAAATAGATCAGGGGCCTTTAAAAATTGTACAAAGTGGAAATATGCAGCTTGAATCCACCAGAAATGACATTTTAAACATATTTTAGATTCAAAGGTTTTTCTAAATAGTATGTTCCCTCATTCTTACTTTGTGTTCTTTTTGACTATTTCATAATACTTACAGCACTGAAAGTCAAGATCAAGTGCCAAATGGTTCTAGGGAGTTTCATGTGTTTACAGTATTCAATTTGAGTTCTGACATTTCCATTTATTGCAACGTTTACTCAAAACATTTAGCTGGGGCCTGTCCCACCAAGCAAGTTCGACTTGGACAGGGTTCCTGACTCAGTAGATTCACAAAACCTAACAAATGCAGCCACGTTTAACGCCTTTTACAACAACAGTTACCGGTTATCTTTCTCTGTTAATGCAGGTTTAAGCACTCAGGCTATAATCAGGGCTGGACTGGAAAATAACTGACTGTTACTGAAGTAGCTAATGCAATAGCACATTAACATTAAGCTAGACATCTGTAGCCTTAGTGTACACGTAGACTGAATGGACAGGATAGCGCTGTAGTTCGCTGCTCTGATAGCCAAACAAATTATACTTTCATTTTCACTTGATTAAGTAATCTTCTATTTTATATAGAATGACAGCTATTATAAATACAATTAACTTAAGACTAAGAACATTGGGCCTCATTCACCAACCCTGATTTTGTGAAGATTCTGATAGTCAAGCAGGTGGTAATAAGGTGCTAACAGTTCTGTGACTTTAGAACATGTCATGAATCTGATGTAGGTGTTTTCTTAAGACCTTTTGCAAGAACAAATTTATTTTGTTTTATTTTATTATATTTATTATATTATTTATTTTATTGATAAATTGGTGAATGAGGCTCATTTTCTTTTTCTTTCACAATAATAATAATAATAATAATAATAATAATAATAATGTTATTTCTAGGTTATTTCATACTAAGCAAAATGATTGCTATATATCATAAATGCTGTTTTATATTCGAATACTGGCTCTTTAAAAATCATATGAAATTATTCAGTTGTGTCCATATCAAGTTTGACATAAATATAAACTGAAAAATGAACATTTTTAGACCATGTTATTTGACACGGGTAATACATTTATTTTAGGAATTTACATAGGAGCTGATATGAAGTGCTATAGTACCAAGTAACAAAAGTTACATTCTTATTTCACAGTTTGGCTTTAATTTTGTAAGGAATTTTTAATATTTTTTTTGGTGTTACAAAAATCGAATGACAGCAGCATTTTATTGTGAGACCTGGTTCACACTGTCAGGTCGTCGTCAAGTGCTGAACTAGATCAGCTGGAAAACCTAAAAAAAAAAAATAATAATAATAATAATAAAACAAAAAAAATCACAGACCAACAACACAGTTTAAAACAGTTCAAATTATATTGGGCAGTGAGTATTATAAATATACATAATAGCTGAGAACCAACAACATGAATAATAACCGTCATAAAAATGGACAAAACGGAATACTAGAAGTAACAGTACACACGGTTCTGTGCAAAAATCAGAAACCACCCTTCATTCATATAATTTCCAGTCACAATTTAGTTAAGTACAAGTTAATTGTTCAAGAGATATTTCTGAGGAGATTAAATAGAAGATATTTGAAGCTTTCGTCTATGAGAGAGAGGAGAAAATCAACCTGCATTCTTCAGATCTGAAAAAATCCACAGGTTTCCATCCTTCCACTGTGAGAAGACAACTCAGCGCTATCAGTCTAAAAGGACATGTAGCTGTCAAGAAACTGTTACTGAGAAAAGAAGAACATCTGTGAATTAAATAAAGAAGCTACTGGAGTTCTCAGAACAGTCCAGACCCAAACATCACTGAATGTGCTTGGGATTACTTTGAGATGTAGAAATTGCAACTTCTAAGACTGAACTTTGGAGATATATCCCTGCAGTTTTCTTTCACTGTAAAGAATAGATGTACACACCTAAATCTCATAAAAGCTCAAAAAATACTAAAAATTATAAATAATAAATGCTAAAAAATAAATTCAGACTGGAAATTATATTAATGAAGGGTGGTCCCTGAATTTTGCACAGTACACATGATTAGCTAAATCTGTGACAATAGTTGTGTCCAACTAATAATGAACTCATCTTTCATCAACACAATCTTCAGTCCTCAGGGCATCAGTAATGGAAATGACTGACTTTTAGTGTCTTGGAAGACCAAGAACATAGTTAAAATAGTTTAATTACATGATTAAATTCCTAATTAAGTATTAAATGACATACATTGTCATAGTGCCTAGCCCTCTGGTTGATGAAATTACGCTTAACATTATTGGCTTAGTTTAATGTAATGACTGCAACATTCATCATTAACCCTGCCACACAGGTTTTTATAGTGAGAGAAATTCCATAATAGCAACATTTCACTACAAAGAAGGAAAGAAAAAAATAAACAACAAAAAAAACATTGTCAAGGTTATCTAGTGGATGATTTATTCATGTGGTCACTTGGTATACAAAACTCAAAATTGCATTACATTTGTCTGTAGGCTTTCATAATTTTAAAAATGACCCCTAGCTCTAACTTAAAAAAAAAGACATTTGCTTGTGGATGGTAATTGACAATGATTGTGCATCCCAATCACCTTCTTCTGTGCTCTTGAGTGATCAAAGTCATGCATGGGTCACCTTAAGGCTCAGTGGCCAAGATAGCCGCAAACTCAACGAGTGTCCGGGTGGGTCTCCCAGACATTCCCTTCCGCAGGTACGGAACCTCGTCCTTATTGGTCATCACGCCAGCAATATCTAGATGAGCCCAATGGTTGGCTGTCACAAACTCTCGCAGGAATGCCGCAGCTGTACAGGCTCCACCTGAGCTGTTGGGAGCAATAAACAAACAAGAGCGCTGTGACTGGGGTGCATCGATATCATTTTGTTCTGATCAAATATGAGTACATATTTCTTGCTTTGTTTTTTTAGAACAGTGACAGCAGGAGTCACACAGAGGCTAATGCATATGAAAAGCTCACTTGTTGAATTTTACATCTTGTTGGAGTCTTTTGATTGGCTGGTTGAGCTGTAGTTCAATGTCCTCTAAAGCCAGACATACACTGTGTGATTTTAGAAATCTTGTTCTTTGATTACTCACACAGTATGCTGATTATTTATATGCAGACAGTTAAAATACTATATTCATTTTTTTTAAATACGGTATTCATTTTTATACCCTGCAATTCTTTTCAGTCACAAAAAGGCAATAACCTAAGTGGCCAGAGACAACATGGCCTCGGATGGTCAAGTTTTTCCCCCAACTAAGCAATGAGAGCTACCAGATTTTTCAACTATAGTCAGACGTTTTTCTTGCGAGACTACAGCAATGCTAACTAGACAGCTAATTAATTTCACCCACTCCATACATGAAACTTTCATGTGTTTTAGTGCAGTGTAGTTCCACGTCTGTCTGTGATGCATGTTTATATGTGAGTTAATTCATTTAGGAGCATGTGTGATTGCACTGACTGTGTGCTCTCAATATTGCTGACCTCTTGTCATGGTGAGCGTGCTCATGTGCTGTATGTGCATGTACATTTACCGGCTATATTTGCCGATGTTGTTCAGGTCTGCCAGAGCACTTTCTGTGACTTGTTTGGTGTAGTGCTGAAAAAGCGGCATCCTCCACACTCTGTCACCCGTGATGACACTTGCCTGCGAATACACACACATACACTAGACCATTAAAATCCAAAATCTAGAATCGATATAAAAGACTAAAAATAGATAGATTACCAACAGGCTATTTAATGTACACGGCATGGCAAAACGTACATGGACCCCCTCTCCTAATTTTTAAGTTACATTGCTAACAGGTGTATAAAATCAAGCACACAACCATGTAATCTCTATACAGAAAGACTGGCAGTAGAATGAAGAGCTCAGTGACTTTAAATCTGGAACTGTCATTGGATGCTTTGTTAGATCTGCCGGCTTAACTGTAAGTGCTATTATTGTTGAACGGAAGCATCTAGGAGCAACAGCAGCTCACTATCTTGCAGTCTGATGGACGAATCTGGGTTTGGTGGATGCCAGGAGAATGCTACCTACCAGAATACATAGTGCTAATAGTTTGGTGGAGATGGACAATGGTCTGGTGCAGTATTACAGGGTTTGGGCCTCTTAGTTCTAGTAAAGCCTAATGTTAATGCTACAGCATACAAGGCCATTTTAAACATTTATATACTTCATGGCAACAGTTTGAGGAAGGTTGTTTTTACAAAGCGAGGTCCATAAAGACATGGTTTGATGAGTTTGGTGTGGAGACACTAGAGTGAACTCTGCAAAGAGCCCTGACCTCAACGCCACTGCAGTGAAATGGAACATCTATTGAGAGTCAGGCCTCCTTGTCCAACATCACTGTCTGACCTTTGACTGAGTGGGCACAATTTCCCACACACACTCAACAAAAATCTTGTGGAAAGCCTTTCCAGAAAAGTAGAACCTGTTATAGCTGCAACTCCATATTAATGCCTATGGTTTGGAATGGGATGTCCAAGAAGCTCATAATATAGATGTGACAGTCAAACGTCTACAAGCCTTTAATCATATAGTGTATATGTCTGATTCTTATCAGTTTACCTTATGGAGCTGTTCCCAAAGCCAGTCAGAGTTAGTGAAAACACCCGCAGCAGCAGAACCCAAGGCTACATCCATAGCACCTGTCAGATAAAAAAAGATTATGGCTATGTGGGGAAGCCTATGCGACTTATATATGCAGTAAAAACTATAGCGTGATTAATTACACTTTTAACATTTTTAGATTGTATGTCTATAAAAAATATCTTTAAGTAGTTGGACGGCTCTGAGAGAGCTAAATGTAAATATATTTTTGCATGTGTGTTTGTGAGAGTGAGAGAAAGTGTGATTATGTACCTGTAAGTGTAGCAGCATTGACTACAGCCCTAGGATTGAAGCTATGAGCATAGCACAAAGCGTCAGCCAAAATAAGACGGCCCTCGGCATCAGTGTTATCAACCTATCAGAGCAAAGCAAAGCACATCGCATTTAAATTGTTTTAATAAAATTGTGTGGCATGTGAAGACATCGATGGTCAGTCTATAGCATGCGGAAATACCTGAATGGTTTTGCCGTTCTTGGCACACACCACATCTCCAGGTTTGTTAGCTTTCCCGCTAGGCATGTTCTCACAGAGGGGTGTCAAGCCTGAGTCCAAAGAAAAGCAAGCAACAAGGCTTTTATTAGTGTTATGTATAGCAACAGGTAAGTTTTATTATTAAGCACTGTAAACTAAACCCTCAAGATGAAAAGATAAACTGTCAAATACGGAGTAGACCTGTATATATATATATATATATATATATATATATATAACAATTTTAGGGGTACCTCAATATGTAAGTGTTCTTTTAACCATTTCTAACCCTTGTAGTTCTCATCCAACACCTTGTTTGGTTGATCACTACCTCTTAATGTTAAATTCATTGTCCCTGTGATGAAATTTAACAAATCTATGTGATGGCTGGAGTGAAGAAATCTAGAACAAAACTTTGTTTTTCAAACTAATTAGCAAGTTATTAGGTTCTTTACTGAAAAAGAAAACTCTATTTATGTTTATTTCCATTTCCATTTCCATTCTGATTATTCATGGTGTTTATACAGTTTAAAACACACTTATTGGCAAGATAAATGGTTTTAAACAATGTGATTATCTACCTACTTTGCACAGTACTGCAAGGTGACGTAAAGATCAAGTAAAAAAGGCAGACCTATAATGTTGATTGGCAGTTTCAGAGCAGCTGCTGTGACAATAGCAGAACACACAGTAGCAGCTCCACCCATATCCGCCCTCATGGCATCCATTCCAGATGAGGGTTTCAGCGAAATTCCACCACTGAGAGAAACATTCAAAAACACTTTATTTGTAAAAGTATAACAAACAAACCAAATGTAGCAGTGAAATAGTAAGTACATGAGACCTGGGCGATGGGGAGATGTAATCTGATATCGTCGATGATGGAAAAGTAACCCGATGGTGATGCGTAAAAGGCGATAATCGCCATTTTGGGAAAAGAACTGAGAGGGAACTAGAGAGGATTCATTTACTGTTACACAGTTTGTAAATATGTTGCGAAATTGGGGTTTATGTCTAAGAAGTGTGCACCCAACAGTCAAGTTTTTTTTCTGTTTGAGAGAAAGAGAGAGAGAGGGAAAAGAAGCTATAGCGAAGAAGCAGTAAGAAGTTGTCTATTTTGTTCTCTCTGCCACACACTGTGATATTGGCTTTCCCGCACGGCTCTTCACTTTCTACTTATTTAACGTAAAGCAAAGTTTAGTGCAGGGAACCGAAAATAAATGATGTTGTGCTTTATAACTTCAACTTGCGTCAGTGTGACCTGCATGTTGGCTCTGAACCTGGAGAGAAATGTGAAAATTCAAACAAGAAGCTGGAGAATGAGAAGCTGACTTTAGCCTCTTAAAAAAATCAAATGCTAAGAGAGACTTTACAAGAAACTATTCTACTCTTGCGGAAAAGTTTCCTGCCGGAGATGTGAGAAAAGTGATTATAGCTGAGCTAAAGCTTAAAGCAGAGCAAAGAAAGTCTGTTTTTGTTTTTATTGTATTGTTTAGCCTATACTAGTACATTAGCACATACAGAGACAAATTTATCGTCAAGATGTTAAAATGGACATAAAATGTTGTGGCTCCCAAGGTGGTTTGATTTTTGTTGAAAGGACAAAATGGCTCTTCTTAGCATTTGGGTTGCTGACCCCTGGTATAAACTATGTGTTAAAAATGTTACCTGTCGAAAGTGATTCCTTTGCCGACCAGCACTAGAGGAGCTTGGCTGGAGTCTGGGCTTCCAGTGTAATGAAGTTCCAGAAAGACAGGGGGCTCCTCTGAGCCTTTGGACACACTGAGAAAGGCCCCCATCTGCTCGCTCTCTATCCATGACTGGGGTCTGAGAATGACAAAGCATCAACAGTACAATTACAGTAACATCAAAAGCTTTTGTGAGGCCTTGTACCTGTCAGTCAACCATCTCAAAAATCAGTGACATGGTCTGATTTCAAATTACTTTTGATCATCCCTAATGGTTATACAATATGTGGCTCACAACTTGCACACACTGTATATGCAATAGGGATACAAGACGTATTGTTTGTTACTCATTACAATGCTATTTGCAATATGTAAATCATCCCTTTAATAAGGCTCTGAACATCATAAACAGATATGCCCAGATAATGTTATTTAGCCATTTTTAAGAATCTAAGGCAAAACAGTCCCCAAAGAAACCATATTTTACCATGATCAACATAACATATAAAAACTAAGAACACACCTGTTGCTTCACTGGTGGTTTTGGACAGTAAATAAAATGGCTATATTTGTGTTGTAGACACTGTGACCCCTAGTTTCCATCACCACCACTGTAAAGAAAGTCAGTAAGTTTCTCTACAAGGAACCATTACACATTAAACTCATCTGAAAGATTCAACACAGCAGCAGAACAGTAGGTTCTTGCCTGGGAACAAATGCAAATTGTGGAAGCCACTCAATTTTGTTGTCTTTTAGAAGAATAAGTTGCAGTGTTTAAAAGAACAATAACAAAATCATCATCGCTACACAATGACTTTGATGTAAAAGGTCCCCTGCGTTAAAAAAAAAAAAAAAAAACTTTGTGCGAAGAGAACATACCACACCTGTTGCCCATTTACATCCAATATCTAGGTCTCTCCTACCAAATTCTGTTTTTTACACTCATGTGCTTAAATGAAATATAAACTTTACTGTAGAGAATTTGTACAGTGTTCTCATTAAATATGACACCTTTCCAAAATGGTTTATTGGGAGGTTAAAAAGGAGACCCCTACCCCCTAAGCCCACCATGACTGACGCAAGAGTAGTGTTTTTTCCGTTTTGTCAGTTTCTTGAATCATGACTGTTTAAACATTAGCTTGTGCCAGACTTTATTCTTCTTTAGTCTGTTTGTTGTAGATGTTTTTTTTCTGTCTTGATGATGCCTAATTTTATAAAGAGCTCAGATTCATTTGGCATCCCAAGGACATTATTCCAGAAGGGGAGAGTGAGATACGGCCCATGATTAACTTCTTGTGCTTCTAGGACAGGATGAGTGAGACATCAAGTAGGCTATAACCGTAACAGCTAGACAGAGTACCGTAAGTACCGTAAGTACCGTAGACAGATAAATGACAAATGATACATAGATACAGAAAAAAAAGAACGGTAATAATAGCTGGAAAAAAATATACAGGGACAATAACAATGCTGCAAATATGTAAATAACACCTCACAGATATCTTTACAGCCAGAATGATACTGTGTATCTAAAATTACGAGCTACTAATGTGGAGTAACATAGAAAAAATATACAATGACAGACAAATCACTACCTTTTATGAATGATCACTCTGTCTGAGAAGGGTGATAGCTTCTGCTCTATGGTTTCAGCAAAAACTGTTGGTGTAATGTGATTGGCTGGGGCCTCCATCAATCTTCTGGCCAGGTTCTGCCCTTCTGCATACAGAATGCCCTTCTCCCACGCTGCTGTATCTGCACTGAACAGTTAACAAAGAAACTCATATGAATTACATGTGAATAGAACCTAAAAACGGCTTAAAATGCACTGATCTATATTACTTGTGACATACAATTCTGTCAAAATAAAAGTCTAAAGGTTATTTTGAATTGCAAAAAAGACTTTTGTTTCTATCCCACTACTGTGTAAATAGTTTCTCCAGTCATGTTTGTGTTCAAAGCATTTTATAAAAATAAGTATAACACAAATGAACACAGATTTAAGATTTCATGATGCACTGAATTGTTTACTAAAGAACCATAACTAAATTGAACCATTTGAGGTCACAGACTGACATCTTTAGAAGCAAATGATTTCCAACTGAACTTACAATTACAGGCATTTGCAAAAGTTTGGGTGCCCCTGGTCAAATGACATATTTTGTTGATTTTCTAACTAAAATGAGTGAACAAATCCTCTATAGAGTCCTACTCTACTCAATTACTATTCATTTGCTGAATTTAACATATTGGAAAGAGTGAAAACACAAAATGTGGCCTGTGCAAAAGTTAAAGTACATTTTATGTTGTATGTTTTACTTTTTCAAATATATTAAACTTAACAAATAAATAAATGTTGCAGGACGACACCTTGTTCAAGTTGTGTTTGATGTGTTAACTTATTTTCACATTCAACCTTTTGCATGACACTGTACATTCATGGCCATTACGTAGGACTCATTCTCAGTACCTGCCGTGTAGCTGTGGCGTGACACGGAACTTCTTCTTGCTCTTGAGCTCGTCATACTCAAACAAGCTGAGCACAGCGCCCTCTGCTGCTGACTGACCGTCACCACAGGGGTCAACCTCCACTTCAGGTATCTCCAGGTCCTGAAGCTGCCTGCAGCCCGCTGCCATGCAGATAAACAGTAATAAAAATGTATGTTCAACCAGGTTTCGTAATGTTTGCCTTCTCTAATGTCTTTTTGTCTCATACACAGAGATTCTCCTTTTCCTGGGATGCTGAGCTCTGCCAGAAAGTACCGACAACTCTAATCTAATGCACTTGTATCTATAAGAAGCTTACTGGCAGTTTTAAAAGCTGAAACAGTTGTTTCAACACAGAACAACACGGCACTCCAGAAGTATTTCTTGCAACTCTCAAAAATAAACAAACAAATGGTGCGCTAGCAGGGTATCATTGTATATCTTGTCTTAAAGGCCTCATATCTTTGAAAATAAATGAGCTTCATGTAGTATGTAAGTCAAAAGTACATACAGTCCATATGTGGGAAATAAGCTGCAAAAACCACCTGTGTTGAATTCACTGTTTTTGTGATGTCATAAAACTAACCTTTTTACATAATTCCACCTATTCAGCATACAGCCATTTAGCACCCCCCATTTATTTTGAATATAATAATGAGTAATAGGGAGTTTTTTTAGCCTGGACTGCTTTTTGAATAATGTACGATCAGGTCAGCCAATCAGACAAAGGGTCATTTACAAATATCAGTCTTAAAGGCGCAGTAGCAAAAACTGCCCTTTTGAATCTAAGGTTACAAAAAGAGGTTAAATATATTTATGTAAAAAGTGAAATATGTCTCTTTTTGGTAGACAAACGCACACAAAACAGTAAGAGGAAAAATGAAGTACAATAAAAAAAAAAAAATAGGATATAGGCTCTTCAATCATCTAACTGAATGTAGTACCGCTCAGATTTTACATTTTGGTGGTAAAACAGTTGTTTAAAATGAAATGTCCGTGTTTAACTAGACAAGCTTTTGCCGCTGTTCTTTCATGTTGCACTAAAGTGTACAAAAGTTTCATGTATTGAGCTGCAGGCACAAACCACACAAACACCATTTGCTTTCTGTTTGGGTACATCTAACACATGTATGTTTATTCCACAGCAACAACTGCTGCTCAGATTTTTACCTTAATATTACTGGGCTTATCATGTTTGGATATTGTAGGCTTTATTGAATTTCTATAGCTTGCACCCTTGTACTGAAAAGGTAAGCCCTGAGCAAAATACTAACACTATTAATGTTTTTTCCATGTAATTCAGCCCTAATAGAAGTGAGATGGATAGATGTACCTGTGGAAAGAGGGGAGATTTGGGACACACATACCTGACACAGCTGCTCGGATATTTTCTTTGCAGTTATCCCAGTTCTCCTTCCCACACACGCCGACTCCTTTCTTACCAAGACCCACTACTGCTACACTAGAGATGTCCTGCGTGAAAAGATATGAAAAATGGATAAATATATGAAGAAAGCTTCCACAATGACTCCTCTACCTTTTGAACATATTCATAATAACATAACAGTCGTATGCAAATATGTGAACACCTCCTGGTCAAATGTTTTGTGAATTTCTAAGTTAAAATTAACACATCCTGTACACTGAACTTTAAACATGGCATTTTCCTGCTACTTTTAGTGCACAATTTCTGTTTATTTGCAGAGCTAAACATATTGAGGAAAAAAACATAGAAAATGTGTCACACATTTGCACAGGTCACAATGTATGCTTTATTTTTGTCCAATATATTAACTAAGTCAATTTAAAAAAATGGTTGAAGCAGTCCAGAAGGCAAGCGAGCAGGATCTTCCATGGTAAGTGCTTGCTACGTTTTATTACATATCAGCTTTGTCCCACCTTAAATTTAATGAGGTGTTAAGTTTCTGACACTCACTGTATCTTTGATTCACACCCTGACAAATAATTTCAGGGGTTTTAAAGGAGCTACACTTTTTTGCTGTTTTGTAACAGTAAACTAATAAAATAAAATGGTCATAAAGAGCTGACATCCAATCAATAAATAGTGAATATGCAATTTATGCAGCCTGTGCACACTGACTGTTGTTTACAGACTGTCTAGAATTAGTCTAAATCTTGCAGACAATCAAGACACTGTGAAACCTATGGTGGGACAAATTATATGCATGGCTGTTCATGAATTAGTTAGAAATTTGGCACAGATAAATGCGCTCAGTTATTTTTACATTTGCATCCATTAGTGCCACAAACTGACCTTTTTCTAGCCCATCACTGTGTAAAATCTGAATATATCCCTAACACATATACAGTGGGGAAAACAGGTGTTCAACACTTAACAATTTTTTTTATCAGCAACAAACTGAACCAGAGTATCATATTGTCCAGCCCTTTTACACAAATTCCTCACTTTTAAAAGCATGAAATATCAATAGCAAATGATAAAGTTCTTCTAAAAGAGGATCAGTCACGCTATCAAATAGCCTTGATCAATTTTCCAGCCCTCTAAACAGACATTCAGAACAAAAAAAAAACAAAACACATTTTTGGTATACTTCTAAAGATAGAGTTTTTTTTATCCGAGAACCTATAAAACTTTATTCCTAGAGTTCCTTTGGACTGTTACAGCCCCTGGGGCATGGCTACATCTACAGTGCACAGCATGACCAATGAGCACAACAAGCGCAGGTCATTAAGCTTTACAACTTCGTAAAGATCTGCAATGTCTGTGGAGTTAAGATACATTTTTACTCAGAGTCAGCCAATATGCCAACTTGCATGAAAAAGTATGAGAAACACTCAGGTACATTTGTTTTTCATTCAGCTGAGCTCAAAACTGCACTGACTGTTTTATTCTCTTCCACGTCTCTTTCATCACTTACAATGTGAAAATGATTTGGTTTTCTGGGTTTTTCGGTCCATGAAGCCTATTTCTGTCTCTTGAAAAGAAAAAAAAAGGCCACATACAATGTTGTAATAATGAGAGTGTTTCTCACAATTATGAGAAGCTAATTATTACGAGATACTAGATCCTAATTATGAAAGAATGTCATTACTGTGATTTACTTAAGTCATAATTATGATAAGTCAAAATTATAAGATTCTATGTCATAATTACGAGAAAAGTTGTAATTATGAGATACTAGGTCTAAGTAATTATAAAATTGTAAATCATAATGACATAGTAAGTTAATCCTGTAAGCCTATAAATCATAATAATGACACTGTATGTCATTATTATAAGACAATACATCATAACTATGGATCTGTTTTAATTATAAGATAGTAAGTCATAATTACAACATAAGTCATAATTAAGAAATAGCAGGTCTTAATTATGAGATCGAATCTCTTAAGAGTTAGCAAGTCATTTCTGAGATACTAAGTCATAATTATGACATATTAAGTCACAATTACAAAATACTAAGTAGCAATTGTAAGATGCTAAGTCATAGTTATGGTACACTCATTATTATGTACTTAATAAATGGCTATTTTATTTTAGTGGTGAAAACTTACTTACACAGTCACGCAAGGTAACTGGAGTGTTTCTCTTTCTGTTTAAAACATCACTGGTACGGTTCTACCTTGCTTTTATTCCTCTAAGGTGGTTTTGATGGTAAAAAGTAGCGATGGTACAAACGAGTGAGACGAATGTTACAATTCCTCTGAAACTTCTGTTTACCAAAACAGTTTGAAACACATTTTATTAGCAATGCCAGTCAATTTGTGCCCTTAATGCTGCTGCGTTCTATAATACTGATTATGTGTTTTAGGCTTGTGTATCAGCTGATGGAGCGCTGAAATTTAAGCTTTAAAACTCTTTTTGTCAACTCAATTTGGGAAAGTAATACAACTCCTTTTTTGGTCTTTACAGATGGTTTCACTTCTTATTATTTTCCTGATTCAGAATAAGCATCACTAGTAAAGAGCACATTTTTTTCAAACCTCCAGATTGACGCAGCACCTGACACCTAAAAAAAAAATAGCCAAATGTGACGAAATCACATTCAGCTGAATCAGCTGTGACCGACTGCTATAGGTCATTAGGGAAACAACAAACTATAACAAGCGAGTCTCAAAAACAGTGATCACTGTTATCATACCTGATGTAAGCCGTAGAATATTCTGCTCTTTCCACTTTTCAGGGGCGGTCCGGATCTGCCAGAAGATATGAGAATCATGAGGAGACTGGTGGGCCCACACAAATGCTTTCATGTAAGGTTGTATCAGAATGTGTTACCACCCCTGTAGTTTGGTGCACTTTAGCAGCTGCCATGCACAACCAACTGAACCAAATGAAAAAGACAACATCACAAAAACCCAAACTGTGGGGTGGACTTTAGCAAACAAGCCAGGGGTGTATTTCACAAAGCAGACCTTCAGTTTAGCCAGATAACTTAAGCCCACCGTCTACCCTGTCCAACATGAAAGAGCCTGAGGAACATTATTAATGGACAGTTCTCATCTTTGGGCTTAAGTTATCTGGCTCACTGGGAAATCCTGCTTCGTGAAACACTTGCAGGTACGAAAACAGCAAAGTAGTGAAAATCTTTAAACATTAGCCCTAGTCATCACTTAGCACTACTCCACCAACTTCAAAATGTCTGCACAAGTCAATTTTTGAGATGTAAATTATGTGTTTTAAAGAAACTTACCAGCTCTGATTTCTTTACAAGGCTTGTGATGTCTAATAAAGCCATGACACAAACACTGCAATTTTGTTCACTATCAAAAAACAACAGTAAACCTACATGTCCTCTGAGTTTTTACTGATGGACTGATGATGGTAAAATAGTTGTAAATCAGAAAAAGTTTTCTTAGGGTGCCTTGTAGCACCTTGCATGTACCTCTCTGCCGTGAATGGATTAAACGAATAAATTTTAATTTTCTGCTTTTAGAGGCATCAAACGCTTTGGATGTCTGGTTCCTATCACCAACATTGTGAACAATCCTGACTCAACAAGCTTTTCTATGACAAAGCATTTCACAACAAACCCCTCTGACTTTGTTCATATTATAGTGACTTGGTTCTGCAGAAAAATTCAGAACTTACTCTTTTAACCAGGAGTGTTTTAGCACAGAATGCCATTTACATACATAAGTCTTAAAGGGTCCCTGCAGCCAGACTAGCAAAGAGTCCTACTCTGATGATGAACAGAAGGTAAGAAAAAGTTCTGAAACACTACAAGGCACAGTGACAAATAGAGAGTCTGGAACATGAATTACGACTGTTTCGGCACAAAAGTCCGGGTGGGGGGCGTCAAATAAAAGGGATGTGGGACCTTGAAATTGCAGCTACTCACATTGACAGCAAATCACTAAGTTTGCCTGAGACGGATCTGTCAAACGACGCTGCTAGATCAGTGAAAAGGATGCCGTCGTCATCTTTCTCCTTCTCATATACACCAAGGACCAAACCCTGGAGCACAGACACACATACACACGCGTGCTAATGTCATTCAGAGGTAAGTGAGCCTTCATGTCAGTCAGTAACAAAATCAGAGAACGAGTCTCAATCAGGCCTCCTCAAGTAACTTAGCCGACGATGCTAAACTTACTTTTCTAGCGCTCGAGGCGCGCCTGGACGCAGAGAACAGTCGACAGTTTTGTCCCCGGACTCCGGAGACAAATATTTTTCTAGAAATATTTTGTAGAAGCATTTTGTGTCAACCGTGGCCGTCAGCTCCAGTCCCGCCGCTCACGCCTCCTTGTGCAGCACGATAAAAAAGTTACCTTGAAAAAATGTGCCGTCGCGTCTAGCGCGTCATTAAAAAGCGACTTGCCTTTTTCATCTGCTGATCTGGTCAGAGCCGATTTAAGGGGAGTCTGGCCACGTCCTCACGCATTTTTACGTCTCTCCTCGAAACGACCTACTGATGCATCCGAACGCTCTTAAAGTTTCCCCAGAGCCCGTTTAACGGGAGCCTGGCCACATCCTATTCCTCCCGCAATATCAAAAACATGACTGCAAAACGCCAGAGGGCGCCGGCTAGCGAGTCCTCAATGAATGGGGTGAATGAAGATAAACGGCTGAAAACGGAAAGTTAAAATAGTTATGCGCCATTTGTCGTGGAACTTACTTTAATTTTAGAAATTAGATGGACGTATTTCACTAACAAAGCAAAGAAAACTTATCAGTATGTTCCTTTTTACTACAGCAAACCAGTTTTAGGCAGGAAGACGCTAGCATCGCAGCTACTGAGTGCTGATTGGTTGGCATTACTGCAACCGAGTGCTGATTGGTTGGTGTTACTGCTACTGTGTGATTGGTTGGTAAGTGAAGAAGCTCACTGGCTGAGTGAAGCGGTTTGTTCTCACAGACATCATGAACCTACATTTATAGCACGCCGTTATAAAGTCTTTGTAACTACTACTTAATAAATACAGAAGTATAGCGCTGTTGTCGGAAGAAAACCTCGTATCTCCATTTTTGACGTTTTACAGTTTTTGACATAATTTGAAAATAAAATACCTGCTGCCTTTTACATTGTGTGTAAATTTCATGATGAATGGACTAAAAGAAATGAAAAAGTCTAGTTCCATTGACTTACATTAAAATTAAAGTAGGTTTATTCCTTCTCCTGTAAAGTTACCATTTTGGAGGTTTTCTTTCGACAACAGCGATAGGTAGGATATTTTAATGCCCCATCACCTTATCATAGGAAAAGCAATAACATTTAGCTGAATCTGTAGAATAAGCTAGAAGTAAAGCTGAATTAATATTAAAACTACTATACTAGACTATACTAATGATGTGTGCATGCACGACAGTGTGGCACCGGATTCAGAATTGGTGGATAATCACAGTCCTTATGTGACCTCCACAAAGTGCTTAATACACCTACTATGCATTAAATTACATGACAAACTTTCTATTAATGTCCCTGCGACTGAGACTAACATCGTTACAAAGTAAAGTAATGATAGCAAAACGTCTGAATCAGTGAATGGAAAAAGGGTTTGTTTCTCTAAGCTTTTACAATCAGTCCACACCTGGTGGTTAAAAGCATGCAGCAGGTAAATCTACTCCACTAAATTTTTATCTTCTAGAGATTTAAAAGTATGTAATTCGTTTATAAAGCACTAAATGTAATTAGTAACAGAAATATGACGCAGGAGTGCGTTACATGATAAACATTACAGCTGGTATTCATAACAAATCTCCTGACAAACTCATGCAGAAGCTTATTTACATACAACTATGCCCTTTATATACCTTTATAGTCAATGCGTGGGCTTCATATATGAAACCTAAAGTAAGATATAAATGTTCAGTACTGGCTTAAAGGGGAACTCCACCAATTTTTAAAAATATATACATAATTAAAAGGTTGAGATGTAAACAAAGACATTCAGATTGGTTTGATGTGAAATGCTCTGTTCTAGAGAAACTTACTGTGGCAGAATTGTTCCTAGTAGTAGTGATAGGAATCAAACGTCTACCTCTGAAAGCTCCCTCACAGAAAGTTATTACATGAAATGGTTAGATATATGCTGCCTGGTGTAAGAAACATTGTCTTATGATAGCTTTGTGATAAAGTTTTGGTTTAAAATGTATTTGAATTAATTTATTTGAATCCATTCAGGGCAGAGGGATACATACAACACGCTGTGAGAAAAACAGTTCCCAAAGAAAACTATTTTTTTCAGATTTATCACAATTTCACCATCATCAACATTACATATAAAACTCAGAAGACTTGTGTAGGTGGTTTTGGATAGTAAATAAAATGGCTATATTTGTGTTGTAGACATTGTGACCCCTGGTTCCTATTAACACCTCTATAAAGAAATCAGAGTCTTTCTCTACAATTAACTATTTCCTGAAAAACCACTTTGGATGACTCTGAATGAGTCGGAAATTTTGAAAAATTGGTGGAATTCCCCTTTAAAACTATCTTAAAAACACCAGCGCCGGTTCGTTTGTGTTAAATCAGTTTCCAAAGCAGTCACGTGGTTGTGTGCCGACCGAAGCTTCGGACGTCGTTGATCACAAACAAGCATCGATATCGGGCTTCAAATTAAAGTGAGTTGTTTTTTTTGACAAATACTCCGAAGCCTCGGTATCTGGGGTAACATCACAAATGTACAGTGATTCATACGTTTAAGACGTTTCTTTGAACCGAACTAAACAAACGTAGCCATGTGGGATATTACTTGCTCCTTCAATAAGTGCTCACCCAGCGGGGCTGTTTTCCTCCACGCTACGGCGCAGCAGGTCACTCGCAGAATAGTGCGCCCCCCCAAGAGCCGTAATGCGCATGACAGCTGCAACTCCTAACGCCAAGTAACAGCGTACGAAGTAGGTTAGGCCCCATGTTTTATTGTTTTCCTCCAACTCTGCATTTCTGCACTCTTTTCGTGAGCAGAAACTGGGCTGTGGCGCGCCGGTGAGCCGCGGCGAAGGAGGACGAGGTCAAAACGGAGACGTTTGAACAGGAGCCTGAACAAGAAAGAGACAACAGTCCGGTTTCAGCGGGGAGCTTCCGTAGCGAGTAGGCCCGGTGACCCACATTCAGCGTGTGCAGAGAGAGAGAGAGAGAGAGAGAGCCGCGACCGTGTGAGCCTGTGTGAGTACGGCGGAGCATGTGTGTGTGCGTGTTTGCTGAGGTGTAATAGTTTTGAACGACATTTCTTGTTTGTTGAACGAAACCGGGCTAGTTTAGCCGCGTGCAGATTTTTAAAAATTACCGTTAGTGCGCGCGGGGCTTGCCTGCTTGCTAGCCAGCCCGGGATGCTGGAGCGCGGCTGTATTGAGAGAAAATGAGCAGAGGCTCCCACGTTAAACTCGAGCATTAAATCGTTTTCGTGGCAGGACATTTTGTTTTTATATGTATTAATGGAGGCTTTATTTTGTAACTTAAGTCCCGCCGCTTTCGTTTCCCGCAAACGCGACCAGCCGTGCACCTTAAGGCGCTGTGTGTCTGTCAGGAGCGAGAACGTGAGAAGACAGTCCGCTCAGAGCTGGAGCTGCTCGTAGTTTGAATGGAGAGTGTACTTACAGCTCAGGCTGCGTCCCAAACCATATAGCTGCTGTATTTACTGTATCTACCTAACAAATGAATGCACTTACATTGCTGTAGTGCTGTTCTGACATGCTGTCAGGGCTGGACAGACTACTTTGATAAAGCACTGATAGCTGAATACTGAATATACTGTCCTAAATGTATTCAGTATAGTGTTCCATTGCAATACATAAAAAGTAACACATTTAGAATACATAATAAAAGAAAGAAAAACACTGCTGCTGTCATTTTTACTTAATCCTCACTGTTACTGGTTGGCAGTTTTCCTCCTGGTAATTTTCTTGATTTTTGCATGACACCCACGTTATATATCAAAATGTTCAGAACAATTTCAGCTCTTTGGCTCTGGAGCACTGTATAAAGAGATAATTTGGCCCCAATGCTGAAAAGGTGAAGTCCGGTTTAAAACATAGCTTTGCTCATGCAATTGTTTTGGTGCTTGAAATGTGTTCACCAAAGCTTTAGGTTCACAAAACTAGTGCAATGTAGGAGTAAAATAGTAAAATTCTGTATTCTAAATACACATTCCCAATATTTGTGTTTCCAACCCTGCATTATCCTTAATATATACGGTTTAGTTTTGGACGCAGCCTCTGCGTCAGAAATGTTCAGATATGGGGCTAATGTGGATGAGCCGAGATGGCGCACAACATTGTGACTGTTCATTTACCATTTATTCAGTATATTTTCAAAAATGTCTGCACAGTTAAATCATTAAGATGTAAATAAAGCCATTCAGAGAGGTTTGATGTGAAAAATACCATTCTAGAAAAACTTAACAAGTCAGAATCGTTCTCAGTGGTAGTGGGAGAAAGTAGACATCTGAAGCGTTTAATACCTTTACAAGCTGCCTCACAGAAATGGTAACAAGTATGTTGCCAGATGCCTGATAACATTGCTTTACAATAGTTTCGAGATTAGATGTTGGCCAAAACACACTTTTTACAATCCATTCTAAGGTGAAGCAGCCCTCAAAGAAAGCTTATTTGCCATTATATTTTACTATTACTTAAAAAAAAACTCTGTTCACTGGTCATGTTTGGATAGTAAATAAAATGGCTATATTTGTACTGTAGATATCACAGCCCCTGGTTTCTATCGTCTGAGTCTGTGTGTTTATGTAAAATTAACCATTTCACATCAAATCACTCCTTTGATGCCTTTGTTTACATCTCAACCGTTGAATTATGCTGGAATTTGATTTTGAAAAATAAAGATTTTTTCCATTTAACCCGTTCTTTTTTGATTTCCTTATAGTCTCCTGTGCTTGAGAGAGAGGCTGTGTGGCACATTGCCCTGGGTGGTCAATATTCAACCTTTAGGCGCTGTCCTCAGCAGAGTTGATGTTACAAATATCCGGAAACAGCATCAAGGTGAGGATTGTATCCCACCAATACACACACACACACACACACACACACACACACACACACACACACTGTAATTTCTACAGCATTTCTATAACATTTGTATAGTGAATTACTATGTTACTATGGGATAATAAACAAGTAGTATTGTATGTTGCTATATGACGGTACAGCAGGAACATTATATGAAGATAAAAATATTCTAGGTTATTGTAAAGGTGATATAAAGCACTATAGAAGGCTTTAAATAGTGATGTAGGTCTTTATTTGTACAAATGTGGAATTTTGATGTTTTTGTGATACTGCAGGATCTCCACCACCTTTGCTTCAAATGTCTTCCCAGTGCTTCAAGTGTTTTTTTCCTCAGACTGACCCATGAAACATCATCACCATGAGCTCGATAGACAGGTATGATCGTAACACATAATCCTAGGCATGCATCGCAATAGACTTATATTGTTATGTTTGTGGTATAGCACTAAGACTAGCAAGGATGTCTGCTGACTTAATCACTCAATATTTTAAACACATAAGCATACAGTTCAAATACTGCAGTAGACAAATTGAACAGGGCGTTGTCTTTTTTTTTGCATAATATCTAATCTACCGGTGAATCAAATTTGCTCAAGTGAAGGGATAGAGTTAGGTTTGAATGGTTTTTGCTGTTCTAGGATAATTTTTTTTGTTTATTGATTCATGTTGTGGCTTGGATAGGTAGAGCTGATCCTAGATCAGAACAAAAGATCACCCTTTACCAACAGTCAGCCTTTAAAAATAATAAAGCCCAAGCTTCCATATTGAGTATAAGGTGCTGTTGTTAAAGGGGAATTCCACAGAAATTTTACAGTTTCTGCCTAATTTAGTAGTTGAGATGGAAAGAAGGGCATTTGGCATGGTTTGAGATGGGGGGAAAAAAAATGGCGTTCTATTTAAAAATTTTATCTCAAAACTGTCGTAAAACAATGTCTCAGGCATTAGACAGTGCATTTGTAATCGTTTCTTCTTAGAACTTTACGTGAGGGACAATTCTTACCAAGTTCCTCTAGAGCAGAGCATTTCACACCAAACCATTCAGGACTTTATTTACATCTTTGTGACTGAATTTTAGAAACATTATGAGAAATTCATGGAATTAGGCATAATTGGCTTATTGCAATATTTTGAGATTATCTAAGATGACTGCAGTCTTTTTCCACAGTCATGTTATGCAAAAAGTCATTTCAAAATCATATTATAAAAACAAGAAAAGTTACATCTTCTAGGCTGGTGCTCTCAGTTTAGGGGATAGCATGAGTAATTGATAGTGATGTATGCTAGCAGAACAAGTGTTGTTTTTTTTCCCCTATGCTTTCACTCTCAAGATAAAATTGTAGCTTTGCTTGACTCTACACATGATTCTATATAATTGTGTAACATTTATGTTAGGGTCTTGCAAGCGTACAACAGTCTAGGGTATTGTTTCATCTCAGCACAAGTAAACAAGCTAAGAAGCAAGATTTTTGAAAATAATTTGGCCATATTAGGCCTGCAATTTAGTAGTTGCATACAATAAACAAAAAAAGACAATTAAATAGTAAATGGCAGTTACTTATGTGACATTTGTCAGCTAAAAATTCTTGATTGTGACTGGACTAGATAGAATTACCCTTTAATGAAGTATTCAGAGTCAGTATTGTATCGGTGTCTACACATAATTTAGCTAGACAGGAGCTCAGTCAGTCTAGGCAGTAGTTTAGCATGACTGATTAAAACGTAATGCAGTACAATAGAGTTCTCAATGATTTTTGCTTCACTGTGTATACCCGCGCTCAAAAGAGCATGTCTAGATGTTTTCTCAACCTGCATTGCTTGAATTCTTGTAATGCGCAAGTGCACACCCACATCTACAAGCTTATTTTTTGCTTGTGTGTTTCAGTATGCGTCTAAAATAAGCTTGCACTTTGCGCTTTGAAGGAATCCTGGAGTAGCACATCTTCAGTCATAGCCTATTTATAACAGTATGGTTGCACTCCTCTTTTCTATCTGTCTCTCTCTCTCTCTCTCTCTCTGTCTCTTTTTCTCTCTCATCCCATAGTTATTTATAAGGTTGCAAGGTTAATGATGCAAGAAATTAAAATGTAGTAAATTGCATAGAATTGAATGCACACTGTATTTACATTTTTTTTTGTGCTACAGGGATGATGGCAGTATTTTTGATGGGTTGATGGAGGAGGATGAGAGGGATAAGGCCAAACGGTAAGACAGCTGCTTCTTCTTGTTGCTACTTGAAAATAACTTTAGGCTGTGCAATATCCCCTTTTTTAATACCTTCAAATCATCTCCATGTATTTCTGAAGTGTATGTTAGAGCTGGGCAATATGGCCAAAAATGTTATCACGATAAACAAAATTCATATCGTTCGATATTGATCCATATCGCAATAATGTCAAATCATTATTTCTTTCAAGTTTGAAGGCAGATTTTTGCTCCTGAGTGGTTAATTGCTGTTTTAAACTATCCTTTATGGTCAGAACATGACAAACACTCGCCAAACAGTGGAACATTTCACAAATCTGTCATGGGAGAGTGGTTGGTATAGTGTGGTTGGTATAGTGTAGTGGGCAACGCCTCTGCCTTCTACACTGTAGACTGGGGTTCAATCCCTGTCTAGGTAATCACCCTACACTATACCAATAAGAGTCCTTGGGCAAGACTCCTAACACTACCTTCACCTACCTGTGTAAAATGATCAAATTGTAAGTCGCTCTGGATAAGAACGCCTGCCAAATGCCGTAAATGTAAATGAGAGAGTGGGAGAAATTTCTGGTGAGCTGTTTTTATCAGCTGGAAAAGCATGCCCGCAGTTTTGGTAATAGTCATAATTTAAGAAAGAAAAGATTATTTTTAGCTGTCTGGTGACGAGTGCTAGGCTATCCCGTTACAAATGCTAAACAAGTGGCCAACAACAGTGTTAACTGTTTAGTTTCTCAACAACGTCAACTTAGTACGAACAGCAAACGTTAGCTGGCTCAGTACGTCAGTGATGGATCACACCTCCTTACTGCCGTCACTCCTACCACATCCATGTCAGAGCATATCACAGTATTCAAACACCAGCTAGCAGACGTCTGGATTTCTCTACTGTATCTCTATCTATGCTTATTTGCTGTCTCGTCATGTGTTATTTCAAGATCGAAAAAAATCAAAAAGACATGGTGATGCTCACCAAATAAGTGAACACACTGCACTGCATTTTCAAGGCATCATTCAATAAAAAGTCAAACCTTCTGTCTTTCAGATGCTGAATGCCTAACTGTGCTGCTAGCTGAAAGAAAGGATTTGGTTAGCATTAGTTTAGCTAGCATGATAACAGCTCTGCTCCCCATAGAATATGTTTGATTCTGGCTAACTGGTTAACTTGGCATGAGGACAGCAAATCTCTAAGAAAACAGCTCAAATTGGGCTACAGACTTCTGAGTTATATGTAGAAGAACTCTGGAAGATGCCACTGTTCGTGCTACTTTCAGTTTTCTAAAATGTAAAGTTGCCTGCCTGGTGTCACTGTTTGCTAATTCTGTGAGGTGCCAAATTTCACATTTTCATGTATTTGCAACATCTTTGGTGTGTTACAACCTTTAGAGTGAAAGCTGAAATGGAACATATTCTGTGGATATAAGGTAAACAAAGGTTATGTATGCCTGTTCAAGTCAACGGGATGCAGAGAGCATGCAGAGAGACTGGGCAGCTGTCTGAGCAAACTTGAAGCAAAACTGTTTTTTGCTTAAAATCAGTTTGATTGTAAATGCGTTTTAAGACTTAAACTACTCGCAAGACCCTACCACCTCAAAAATGGCCACAAGAATGCCGTAACCTTGAGTGAAATACAATTACTAAAGTTTGGTGAAAATGGCAGAATTTCCCACTTGTGTGAATAGGACTGTTATACCACCCAAACCTAGTCCCAAAGTCCATCCTGAGATTTGAAAATTTCACAACATTTTTAAAAAAGGTTTTATTATGTTAATGAATATCTGGATTTGGTAGCAATGAAGTGACAAGTGTTATTTTGGTGCTGATTCAGAGTGTCTAGGAATAAATCAGAGAAGAGGCGGAGAGACCAGTTCAATGTCCTCATCAAGGAATTGGGCACCATGTTGCCGGGCAACACACGCAAGATGGACAAGTCCACTATCTTACAGAAGAGCATTGACTACCTGCGGAAGCACAAAGGTGATATATGCACGCACATACACAAAGTCCAGAATGAAATTCTTTTCCCTTTTATTTGCTTCTTCGTCTTTTCAGCAGAGGCTGTTTTGTTGTGGTATCGTGCTGCAGTATTAGTGAAGTACCACATTTTTACATAAGTAAACAACACATAATTTACAAATTTGAAACCGTAAAATGTCAAGTTAGCCAAAGGTTTTTTAGTGAGATGAAAGTGATGAACCATGTGATGAAACGACTAGATAAAAATCACTGTTTGCAGTGCACACTTTGATTGCATTAAACTGAATGTTATAAAAAAGATTTCCTTAAATCTGACCATAATTGTGTTTTGAGGCAAAACAGAGATATTAAGCAAAGATCTCAGACCTTTATTGTGTTTTGAGGCAAAACATTGAGCCAAAATCTGAGAGCAGGAACACTGACTTGCTTCCCTTATCATTTGAAAGGCAAAAACTAATCATGTCTGAGCTCTGAAGTGTGATTAATAAAGAGCAGTATGTTTATGTTTATTATGTAATTTTACAAGTGCTCAATATGACCTCCTCCAGCTATACGACAACATCAACAGCATAATCAAATTCATCCCATACTCGATTGAGCATGTCGGGTGTCACTGTACTCATGGCTCTTTCAATGCAATTTCGGAGATGATCCAGTGTTGTGGAACCAACGACGAATGCTCTGAGCTGTTGGAGATTCACTGCTGGCGAAAATCACGTTGCACAGTTATGATGGATTCACTCTTATTGAAGTGGAGAACGTAAAACACTTTCTGCTCAGGGGTCGCCATCTCCTTGCAGACTGAAGGGAGCCATCTTCCGGTGACAGAAACTCTATGACCCCTCTTTGAATTAGTATGTGATTGGTTCCTATGGCGCTTTGAAATCAGATTAATCTTTTTTTGTATCACCCTGTATTTTGGCTTAGTTTGTCAAAATAGTTATTTTATTTTTAAGGCAGTGTAACTGTTTTGTAATTATACATCATAAAAGTTCATCAAACATAAAACCATAATTTGACACACTGGTGCCAGAAATGGCAGGGGGCGGGGGTGTCCATGTAGCCATGTTGGTGACAAAAATAAGACAAGCTTTTCACAGGCATTACGTTTAAATTTATGGCATTGGGTAGACGTCTTATTCCGAGTTGGGATGTCTCAGTTAACCATTTAAGATGCCAGTATTTGAAAACTGAAGTCATTATTTAGGTACAAGTTCCATTTCATGACGAAGAAAATATACAAACCAACAATTCAATGAATGCTGCTTAATATGTTACAGTTTTGTTTGTATTTGTGAGTAAGTATGTTATACTGTGCCACTCTGAAACACAAGTGCCAAAATGTGAGTGTGTTGCTGAGGGTGTGATGTTAAAAACTTGTTTTGAAAGGCAGATGTAGCCAGAGATATTATAAAGGGCTTTGATGTAGTGTGGCTTCATCGCTAACTACACTCTTGTACACCGATGTTGTATATGGAACCGAACTTTTTAAAAAAGGGTTTGTATGTAGCACTAAAAGGAGTTCTGCTGTTATTACAAGCTTGACATTGTGAACACATTTTGGTGCTATGTAGAACCATACAACACTTCCTCCATCAATCTAAAGAACCATTTCACCATGCAAAGAACCCTTTAAGCATGCAAATAGTTCTTTGAGTGTTCATGGTCTCATATAGAGCCATTGTCTTTACTAAAGAACCCTTGGAGATCTATCTTTTTAAAAAGTGAAGGCTAATTACTCTAGCTGATGTTAGCCACATCCAGAAATGCAAATATTTTCCCTCTGAAAAATAATGTTGGCACATCATACAATGAAGAGAATATACCTCATATAAGATAACGAGGAATTATCAGCATCCGCTGTTGCAACAGTGAGCTGTAGTTTTAGCTCACATCTGAGGCTGCCCCCAGGTGGAGGACTGAAATGTTATCCCTTGTGCTATACCAACTGGTAGTTGTGTCCATACATCAGAGCAGTTCAGTAATCTTCTTCTGTGGAAGAATGAGGACAAGATTGCAGAGACTGCTCCTTTGATCTTATTATGGCTGCTAAAGGACCATGGCGCTTAGTAAATCATGATGGTCACTTTTTATTGCCAAAATAGGGTTTGCAAAGCATTTGTTGTACTTGCCATAATATTAACCTTGTTGGTTCTTTTGCTGGACATAGGAAACTTTTTATTTAGTTTTTTACCCTGATGTCTGTTTAAAACATTTGCATGTAATTTTGTGACATTTTGTCAGTTGTAATTCATTTTTACATGTCCATTTTCAAAACTCCTCTGATTTTGTTGCTGTATTGCTGTAAGGGAAGAGGGAGAAAAACACAGATATGGCTGATTTGGAAGAAAATAAAATCACAGAGGACCCCAGGAACCCATGTACATTAAATCCTGCCCGAATTGGGCTTAAAACCATGTTTGCATACAACTTCAAGATCTCAATGAATGAAATGAAAATTCTCTGATATATGCTGTTTAAAGCTGGTTGTGTGTAAATGACAATGTTGCTTTGTGCAGAAATTGCAGCACAGTCAGAGTCTAGTGAGATCAGACAGGACTGGAAACCCCTGTTTCTTAGCAACGAGGAGTTCACACAGCTCATGCTGGAGGTGAGATTCTCAGCCATTTATATTTCTGGGAGTCTGTGTGAATTACCTGCTAAAACGTTTAGTTAACACAAACTCTTTGGGTTTTCCAGGCATTGGATGGGTTTTTCCTTGCTATCCTGACAGATGGGAACATCATCTATGTCTCTGAAAGTGTCACGTCCTTACTAGGGCACCTACCTGTGAGTATGTGTGTCACTGTATGTAACCTGATTTGTATTACATGGTTTCCACAGTTGCTAGCTTTCACAGTTGTATGCTTATGGTGCAACAGATTGTGAATTAGCTGGGTTTGAGGTAAATAAATAGAAATGAAGAAAACAGAAAACGTGTTAATAAATGTACGGCATGGGTCTTACGATAACACCAGGAAGTGAGCCTGTTTAGCCACTTCAGCCTCATTCTCGTAGTTGAACATAATGAACAAGACAGTCGAATTGCTAATCACAGTTATTTATAGGGCAATCAATCATCAGTTGAAATTTCATGACTATTACAGGCCTAACTGAAACAGAAATTTGGGACACACCCAAAAAACAAAAGAAAGAGAAGTTCCATTTTATTTATGCTTTTTATTTTCAGTGAAAAATAAAAAAGGAAAGAGAACCAAGGCAACTAGTGGACTAATTTAGTTTTATTTTACATGAATGCAGAATGTTTATTTTAAGAAGATGCTTTAAATTGTACATTTGTAAAAGGTTAGTACAAAATTGTTAGTAACATGCAGATGTGTGTGGTAGTGTTAGTAATGTTTTGTGTCTGCCTTTGTGTTTTAGTCAGATCTGGTGGATCAGAACCTGTTGAACTTCCTTCCTGTCGGGGAGCATGCGGACGTATACAAAGCTCTGTCTTCACACCCAGAAGGTGAAAACCTCAGCACAGAATACTTTAAGTGTGAGTGCTGTGAAAATCTTGGTTCAGACAAGAGCTGTTTTCTACCAAGAAATTTATTTCCCCAGTGGAAAATTGTCCATTGTTTAAAACCTTCTCCGTAGATGCGAGATGTCTGATGGATATCCAGTTCCCGAAGCGTTTAAAGAGTTTTCCCCTCAAGATGCAGCCATGGGAAACTGACCAGGCAGGCTGAGCATCACTGCTGATAAAACATTCAACATTCTGAGTTTGCGTGGTCTGCCACTTCGTGACTGAGCCGTTGTTGCTTCTAGATACTTATGTTTTAGAGTAATAGCACAGTTGGCCGGGGCAGATCTAGCAGGGCAAAAATTTCACAAACTGACTTGTGGCAAAGACGACATCCTGTGACAATTTAAAGTCTTTAAGCGCTACAATATGACCCTATCTATTGTTATCATTTGTTTATGGAGATTACGTGGTCATGTGCTTAATTTTATGCAGCTGTTAGTAATGGTTGTGGCTGAAACACCTGAATTCAGGGATTAGTAGGGATGTCCACATAGCTTTGGCCATATAGTACACTTCAGAAAGAATTTTGACCGGATGAAGTGGTACACTGCCTACTACTACCCAGTGCCACAATCTGATACATGAACGATACTGACACCATTTTCTCTTTTTTTCCAGCTAAGAACCAGTTGGAGTTTTGCTGTCATGTGCTCAGAGGTTCTATGGATCCCAAAGACCTGCCCGTGTACGAATATGTCAAAGTTATCGGCAACTTCAAGGCACTCAGCAATAGTGAGTGTGGCTAAGGCTTAAGCTTTGATGTTAATAATGAAATTAAACAGAATGAATGAATAAGACAATGAGCAGCCAACAGTTGCAGTATAATCCATTTCTCTCTCTCTCTCTCTCTCTCTCTCTCTCTCTGTCTCTCTCTCTCTCCCCCCCCCTTTCTCTCTCCCGCGTTCTCTCTCTCACATGCTTTCTCTCTCTCTCCCCCTTCCTCCTTTGCTCTCTTAGTGCCTCATCCAACTCGAAATGGCCTAGAAGGAGTACTCCAGAGGTCTTTACGCCCAGCCTTTGATGACCAAGTGTGTTTCGTGGCCACTGTGCGGCTAGCAAAGCCACAGTTTATCAAAGCAAGTTAATCTTTTGTTCTATGCAGAGCTAACCTAAGTAATTCCAACACTTGAGTACTCATTCATTAAATTAGTATGTGGTTCTATATTTAGTATTCGGAAGCTTCGTCTCTTTTTCACGCTACAAAAATTGTAGCCTGAACAAGCACATTTCATCAGCAAAGGCCTTTAAAAAGAACAGATAATTTTAAAAATAAATAATTTATAGCTGGTTTAATCCAATACATCATAAAGTGATTTCTGGCTTTCACCATACCTTGCCTCAGAGCAAATGAGAACTTTGGTTCTCATTTGGCCAAATAAGCGGACCGGGACCCCCCGAGCAGGTCAATCTCAGTTCACTTCAGAACGAACTCTCATGCTGTTCATTCAAAGTATAAATGCAATACAGACCAAAGGTGTCTAAACAGACAAAGTTTCTGATGCTGTTTTGACACAAGCCTGTCTTTTATTCTCTCTTCATAATCTCTGAATCTGTAATTATAGAATGGATAGTTTTGGTTCATAAATGAGACTGAGGCACATTTTAAGTCACTGTAAAGTACTCAGTATACACTTTTGATTGCACACATAAATGATGTATTATTTTGCCAAGGTTTCTCCCTTTTGTTAAAGCCTTAAGTCACTCAAGACTGTTACAGGGATTTCACCCTGCTTCGTGCTGTGATGTAGCATTGCTTAGGCGGACAGCCCAAGCAGTCCCCAGTAGCTGTGGTGTAGCATCGCTCATGCAGCCGAACACCAGTGTTCATCATACATCAATAAAATACATACATGCAACTTAATGAAGCAAAGTAAAACGGTGTTGGTGGTAAATAAAAAGATGATTCTTCTTTGTTATAACTTTTGCATCAATGTAACTCATGAAGGCAACAACCACTTCCAGGGTTCTATATAGCACTTCATTGCAACATCCACTTAATTGCTAGTTAGCTTCCGTAGCAGTGTACGGCATGCAAGCAGCTGGGTTTCAGCTTGATTATTAATACATCATTGCCGTCTGCTAGATGTATCATGAACTACAATAACGAGCATGGTAAAACAAATGATGGTTAATTATGAAATGTAAATATTAATGTTTTTAAGGGTGACTTTTGATAACGAATATAGTACTCTTTTAGAAATACAAACTTGTATTGTACTAGGGTCTCTGAAAGTGAATCATTTCTGATTTTCATATCGCTGCTACGTTGATGTGCCAGATCCAAATATTAATATTTCTTGCTGGTTTTCTAGCTTTCTTTGTTTGGAAGGAGTGTGGTATTGCTTTGTATTGGTTCAAGTCTGCTAATTAGAATGGTCATAGGCGATGAGGTCACAGAATTTAGTCTTCACTAAATATTGATTATTAATGCTCGATGGGTATGTGCTGGCATGTATTGAATATTGATTACTTTTTGTGCTCAGCAGATGTTTGGTTAGCTTGTATTGATTACTGTCTTCTATTGATTGCTTGTATTAACCACGATTTTTGTTTACCTTTATTGATTACTGATTGTCTGTAGGAGATGTGTACAGTGGAGGAGCCCAATGAAGAGTTTACCTCTCGACACAGTCTAGAGTGGAAATTTCTCCTGTTAGATCACAGGTAATAGTGTAATGTTCTCCACCCTCATTTTTAAAGTTATTGCTTTAAAATATACTTCTAAATACTACACTGAAGTTGATGACACATATGCTTTATTTAAATATATTTCGGTATGTTATGAAACATATTGATTTAGCTTAAGTATGCCTCTTTTCTCAAAGGTTAACAACTGTCCTCAGTGTGAAACCACTGCTTTAAATTTTGGTGAAATACTGAAATTTTCGTCCTTTGCCTCCTTACTATGTTCCAGAGCTCCACCTATCATTGGTTATCTGCCCTTTGAGGTGCTGGGGACATCTGGATACGACTACTATCATGTAGACGATCTCGAGTCGCTGGCTAAGTGCCATGAGCATTGTGAGTAATTACGCACACAAGCACCCCCACTTATACATATTCAGTCTCATGCATGTGTACACAGCTGTGTCAGTGCAGAAATGGCTCTTAAAAGCAGACTAAAAAAACAAGCAAGCAAGCTGACAATGCAGATGTTGGTCCTTATGTGGTGGGGTTGAAGGAGTGGGTGCTTGTTTCGTTTGATATGATTATGTAAAACTAACTAGCTTTCATCAGAAAAATGTAAATATATTTGTATGTAGAATAAATATACATTTACAGTTGTTTCATTATCATTTAATTCAGTGTATACAAAGGTCAATGTAATTTTCTCTGTCTGTGTTTCTGCAGTGATGCAGTTTGGGAAGGGGAAGTCTTGTTATTATCGGTTCCTCACTAAAGGGCAGCAGTGGATCTGGCTCCAGACTCACTACTACATCACCTACCATCAGTGGAACTCGCGGCCTGAGTTCATTGTCTGCACGCACACCGTGGTCAGGTAAAATTTACACACGCTCTAGGACCATAGAACCACCCTTCTCTGTAAATGTCCAATAGGGTGCTCAAAGAAAAAAAAAACATTTTAGATGCCTCGAAAAAACCTTCCCATATAATGTGGTTACTGTAGGAACCCTTGATAGACCACAAGCTCTTTACAGGAAACTGTAACTACCTCACTGGTTTCCATCAAGCATGATGATTCAGCACTAGATTCCTATAGGAACTCTTTTCTTTTGAGTAAGCACTCAAGCACCTTTTGGAGGATCCTAAAAGAACTTTTACACCTAAAAGATGTTCATTTAAGAACCCTAGACTTTTCTGGGATTCCTTGAAGGAATTATAGTTTTTTGTGACCATGTGAATACTGATACTGGCATTTCTTAAAATACTAAACCAAGAAGAACTTTATTTTTTCAGTGCTTCTTGTTACCATCTCCAAAGTTCAGTCTTAGAAGTTGTTTGCATTTTGTGCTTTTCATGATCTAAGTAATCCCAAGCACATGCAATGATATTGAGGTCTGGACTCTGGGCCCATAGTTCTGAGAACACCAGCAGCTTCTTTGTTTGAAAAGTATACTCTTGTGCAAAGCCAAAAATATGATGTTTTCTACTGATGGGTTTGTGATGATCAGATCCAGATTTAGTCCCTATAGAGAATATTTGGTCTCACATTAAACACAAACTAAGGTGGCAGTGTTTTCAGCTGTTTGAAGCCATCAGTGCTGAGTGGAACAGTATTGACTTTTGTCTCTTCTTTCTGTAAAAGGGCTGTCTTGGCCCATTTTTTTGCACCAGAGTACACGTTTTGATAATCTTACCAGTGTGCTTAGGGTTGTTATCGTGCTGTAGAACGAATTTCTCTTCCAGAGGGTACTGCATGATGTATTAAAATTTGTTTGCACTTGTCAGCATTTATTGTGCCTTCAGTCGAAAACAAATCACCAACTTTAAATGTTTTACATACTTTGAAACTCCAGTTATGGACACTCCTGTTTTTATTTTTCCTTTATTTCTCCTTCCTTATGCAAGTGAATAAGCTTATATCTAATCTCATCAGAAATATCTCCTTTAGCCATCATAGATCAATTTTGGACAGAAATTCGTAAGGCAGTAGAGGTGTGTTTTGATAGTTATTTGTGTAAATGTTTGTGTGTCTTTGAATGTCAGTGGCCCATTTTGTTGGAAGGACACAGCTGTTATTTGTTGGTTTTAAGATTGGAAGGATGGAAGAGTTAACCCCTTAACCGTCCAGGTTCATTTCATACGAAGGCTTATTCAGTAACAAGAGTAACTTCAGTGCAAAATAATGGAACTATTCTTAGATTATAGAAGTGTGTAATAAAAATTTGGGGCTGGCAGCAGGCCCATGGCGTGTTAAGTGGTTCCAGTGACAGTTGGGTGTGCCAAAAATAGTGGACAAATTAAATAGTCAGATTTGAAATTGGAAGTACTTAGGGTTGGGGGCTTTTGTGTCGTTTCTGTTAATCATGTTGACTGATTTTTTTTTCTGACACTGAAAAACTACTTTTTATTAATAATAATATTTAGTGGCTGTTTCGGCATAAATCTAATAAATGAAAGGTTGGTCTCTGACTTGTGCGCAGTACAGTTGTAGTGCATGATTTTGACTGATCTTATATGTTTTGCGAAACTGGAATTTCGGAACATTTCTCAGAACACTCTTCCAGTTTAGTAGACCTACTTAATTTTGGTTTAATTTACTTGTTAGTATAAGGAAAACTAAATGTTGCATTTTGTAATTACCCTTGTGAAAGAAAAATGCATTTAAATGTACTTTTCCAAAATGCAATTAGTATGAAACGTACTTTTAATGTTTGCCCTTTAAACATATTTTATTTAATGCTGAATGTATTGTTTTGGAACAACTTGTGACACCTTAAGTGTGTTTAAATCGTAATTACACTGTTAAGTGTATATATATTAAATGCATTCAGTTGTGCTTTTGAGCGCTTTTTTTTAACAACTAAAGCTGCACTCTATAACAAGTAGATTTAAGTATATCATTTGTAGAATATATTATAAACCTGTACTAAATAATACTTTAACATCACTAAATACTCAAATATTTTCAACAAATATTGTATTATTTTTTGTTTTTTTATAAAATATTAGGTATATACTTAAATATAATATTAGGGATAACTGAACACAACCTGTGTACTTAAATTATATTTAAGTAATGTTGAAATACATCCTCTATGCTTAAAAGTGCTTTTCTGTTCTAAATTGGAGTGAAGTTAACTTAGGTCATTGTTAAATCACAAATTGTACTACTCTTGAAACATAATCAACGTATGCTCTCGAGTGTGCCGATATTCATATTTAATTGCTAGTTAGTTTGAGTCATATTGCAACTAAAATGTACTAAAGCATACTTTAAAAATCATTGCTAAAATTTTCCTGCATATGCATATTAGTGTAGTTTTAAATGTTGCCTCATATAATTTATATAATACATAAATATTTGCAAAAATACAGATAAGAATATTTTAGTATATTTTCGTTTTATTCCTCTTTGTATACTACTAAGTATACTATTGATCAGGGCTCTAGACTGCAACTAAAATGGCCGCAATTGCAACCAAATGTATTAATTTGCCAGTAATAAAATTAATTAACTGGTAGCAGGTAGCAACTTTGAATTATTTTTTTATGGGCAACTATTTATTACTGTTATTCTGTGTTTATTATTTTCTTTCATCATTTTTAATCTTAAAACGTAACTGATTCTTTAGCATCATATGGATGTGTCTGTAGGCGTGGGGGGGGAAATTGTTTCTTAGATGCATCGCGATGCGGATGTGAACGATTCTGAATCGATTCATGAATGTCAAAAGTCGATTTTCTAATTGTTTAATTGATAACGTAATGTTGACGGAACGAAAAAAGGCAGAACTTGGAAGTGCGGAAGTACAGTGCCCGTACAGTCTGTGGCGGCACATAACAATAACACAACTGGATGAGCGTGAAATCCGACCGGCATCCTTTGCATTAAAAGCTAGGTTAGGTCAGGAGTCGACAACCCAAATGTTAAGAAGAGCCATTTTGTCCTTTCAACAAAAATCAAACCACCTTGGGAGCCACAACATTTAATGTCCAATATGTCTCAGTATGCGCTAATGTCCTAGTATAGGCTAAAAATATAAATGAAAATGCAGACTTACTTTTAAGCTCTGCTTTAAGATTTAGCTATAGCCACTTTCCTCCCATCTCCGCCAGGACATGTTTATTTAAATGTTGAATAGTTACTTGTAAAATGTCTTTGACCGGTCGATTGTTTTAACGTACCAGGAAACCAACTGCGCTGCTTATAAATGCGAATAAGTCCATTCGTCTCCAAATGTTCATCTTAAATCTCTTTCTTTGCCTTTTTGTTAGCTACTAGCCAGGCGAGACTTCGTTGCTATGTTACCTGCAGTCTGCACGCCAGTTCTCAGTTGTTGTGAACCAAGGCTTTTGCGCTGTGTTGCACACGTCCCGTCTCAAAGATATTTTACTGACACAGCAACCCCCACTCTTTACAACGAGACCAAAACCGAAAGTTATAAAATCACTGAAGAAAACGGGTAGGACAGCTGTAACATGTGCTGTGTGGACATCCTTTGCCACAGGATCTTATTTCACCATAACTGTGCATTTTATCACTGATGAGTGGCAGCCTGCGTCTCATGTGCTCCAAACAAGAACAGTGAATGAGAACCTTCTAGTTCACTTGCCACATCACTTCCATTTGTTTTATTAATAAAAGATACTGGAAGTAAATTCATTATGGATCATTACAAATACTTTGCTTTAAAAGTACCAAGTCCTCACGCAGTGAGAAAAAAGAAATCCTGTATAGAAAAAAAAGATGCATCAAGATGCATCGATAATCGTTTTATAATCGCATTGCGCCCTCTGAATCGTAATTGAATCGTGAGGTGCCTAGAGATTCCCACCCCTACGTGTCCACCTGTCACGTCTGCCTGCTTGTGGCATTTCAACCTGAGTGGCAAAACGTGACAAACAAAGCGTATGAGCGGAGCAGAGCTGAGCTTTTTGCCATTAACGTTGGCGTGTAGAAAATGGCGAAGCGAAAAGTATCAGATTTTTCACACAATCTACGTTTCTGTCAGACTGTAAGAGGTCATCTGCTCAACCCCAGTCTGACTCAGGACCAGTGAACTAGTGAAACACACATGAAGATGTACCTGAACAACCGTCCACTTCAAGCACTTCATGCTGAAGTACAACCACAGAAAGAGTTCAGAACTTCTTGGCTTCAGGAATTTGGACTGTACTGCGAATTCTGTTTGAAAGAAAGCCAAGGTGTGGCTGGAAAAAATGGATTTCTTAACAGGAATGAATCATTTAAAAAAGAGACGGTAAAAAAACATGGCCAGAGTCGAACGCATAAAAACGCATTTCATCATTGCAGAGTGCTCCTAGGAAAACTCCTTTAGTTCATGCAGTGTCTTGTGCAAGCGAAAAAACAGCCGAGAAAGAATTTCGAAAAGCTTAAAATTAAATTCAGCACAGCCTACATGATGGCATGTAAAGAGCTACCCTTAACCAAATTCATCTCCCAAATCTTGTTAATGAAAAATAGCAGACTGGATGCGTTGAGAATCAGGCACAATGGAAGGCAAAGAAGTTAAAGTGGGAATTCCACCGTTTTTTTTTAAATTTCTGTACAATTCAGTGTTTGAGATATAAACAGTCATTGTTTTAATGGGAAATGGCTCATTTGCAGAAAACTTACAGACTGGTGTCTTTACAGTGATGGTGACAGAAACCAGACTCCTGATGTATACAATGCAAATATAGCCATTTTCTTTACTGTCCAAAACCACCAGTGAACCTACGCATGTCTTCTTTTTTTATGTAATGTTGATGATGGGAAAATAGTGGTAAATCTGAAAATTCTTTGGTGACTGTTTTACCTTAGAATACCCTTCATGTATCCCTCCACCATGAATGGATTAACATCAGGCAGTGTATTCATAACCATTGCACATAATACCTTTTCTGTGAGGAAGCTTTTAAAGACATTTAACTGCTCAGATGTCTGATTCCTGTCATCATCACTGTGAACAATTCTGACTCTGTTAGTCTCTCTAGAACAAAGCGTTTCATACCAAACCACTCTGCATGAATTTGTTGCCATGTTAACAATTTTAATTATGCAGAAAATTTGAAAAATTTGAGGTGATCTGAGGTGTGTTGAAAAGCTTTATTATCCTGCATATTATTATTTGGCACTTGGTCCCTGATTTTTTTCCTTTTAGGAGCTAATTTTTTGTCTGGAGCCCTGTTGATGTACTTGAATACGCTTTTTAGCATGCTTATATTTTCAACAGGGTTTGAGGTGTCATACAATATACTGTGCACTGCTGTTGTGTACTCCAGTCAGCTGTACCAGGGGTTTAATTGGAGGGAGGGAGGGAGGGATGGATGGATGGATGGATGGATGGATGGATGGATGGATGGATGCGTTATTCTATATTCTCTTATCATTTCTTATTTTTCGTTTTTCTTTTCTTTCTTTTTTCATGGTAGTTACGCTGAGGTGCGGGCAGAGCAGAGGAGAGAGATGGGAATTGAAGAGTCTCCTCCTGAGCTTACAGCAGACAAGGTGAGACGTTATTGAGAATCTCTGATTTCAAACTACTGGGCACAATATGTGGAAAACTGTTTTTGTGTGAACTATTCACTTTCACTCTATCTCAGCATTACAGATGTACAGGTTTGCAATGAAGACTTTTTATAAGGAGTTTATTTTTATTCTCTCTCTGTATCTCTGTTTAGCAATCTCAGGATTCAGGTTCTGAGTCACAGTTGAATACCTCCAGCCTGAAGGAAGCACTAGAGCGCTTTGATCACAGCCGAACACCATCCACCTCCTCGCGCAGCTCCCGCAAGTCTTCACACACAGCCATGTCCGACAGCACATGTACCTGTAAGCTTCTTTTGGGGCATAAAATATTACCATTTCAAAATTATGATCACAGATTTTGCAGTCTGAATGACCAAATTAACAGGTTCCCCCATTAATGTTTTTGAGGGGTCACTGATTGGTGGTGTGGGAGCTCTCTGATAGATAGTGATAATAGAAAGAGGGGAAAAATCAGAGCCAGGAAAAACCTCACAAAACATTATGGTGGCTCAGCAACAGCTAAAAGCTGCACACGCACCATAGAACATTCTCAACAATAGTCACACAGCTTTGTCCTTTCAGATATACTCTAAACAAGTGTCACTGTAATTTTTATCTTCTACACTTGTTTCAGCGGAGCACCAGTTAGGCAGAAACAAGCCTGTACTGTGGTGTGTGGCACTGTTTAGCTTAGTCGGCAGGCTACAGACCCAAAGTTAAATTTGTTGATCAGGCTATTAATCCTGACACTGCGGAACCAGATTTTGCCATTCTTTCCCTTCAGCGCCAGTTGCTTGACTTCACTTCTTCACATTTGAATCACTGTCATATTAATTGTGTTTGTACTTTTGCATGAAGCGAACATGTTATCAGCTAAGTTAATGCCAACCGGCTCCTCTCTCCTATTTAGTTAGCAATTGTTTGATAGTTGGTTTGATATTTATGGAATGATGGCATAAAAATTGTGCACTGCATTTACTTATGTGGTGACCAAACTGAACTGTTACTTCTGATTTTGAAGTAATGCAGAACAATATGGCACAAAAGCAACAAAAAAACTTTTACGTCACCTACAGTGCTTTTAAGTCACTTACAAGGTCCCCTGCCCCATAATACCATGGTCATATTTGGAGATGGTTTGAAGGTATGAAACAAACGGGTACTGCCCATCACTAATTAAACTAGCTTGCCTAGGTCCTGATACACAATGTCAATTTGAAACTGACTCAAGAATTTGCTGTCAGAATGAAATAAACCAAATTGCAGGTTGTCTAGATACAGTTTTATGAAAATATTGACTTTGAGTCATTGAATTGATTAATTCAAACAACAATAATGGCAATTCAAATGTTCTTGTTGTATTTATAATTGCCTAACATGACAACAGTTTAGTCACCACACACTCTAATGATGCCTCACTACTGTGCAGAACAGGGAGTCATTTTTAACCACTTTGATGACTCACCAGTGTCCCCTCTGTGTCTCAGCCACTCCCTCCAAGCTGCAGATGGATGTGAACACTCCTCCTCGGCCTGCCACCGTTGACATGACATCACAGCGGCGCTCTTCAGTCAGTGGCCAGGTAAGAGGTTGGCCGGGTTTTTATTCATATTGTGCAAAACTATGATTTAGTCTGTTGGTTAATGAGGTTTATTTATGTTTAAACAGACCGTAAGTTCTCAGAATAGCACCCAAAATTCATCGCCTGCTCAAGTCAACAAGCAACAGCAGCAACAACAACAACAACAGCTTCAACCCCCTGCACAGGTAGGAAGATACCAGCTTAGATGATATGTCCTTATCTTCGGCTTTCTGCCTTTCAGTTAATTTTGTAGAGTTGTAGTCACCATTAGATGCAAGTCTGAGTCAAGACCGAGAACTGGACATATCAAGTAAACATCAAAACGAGATCAAGATTTAAGAAAAAGCAGAAACTAATGAAATCATTTATTACACTATACATACTATACTTCATGTAAGTGAAACTGTTCGCTTTAGTGATGAAGCTCCATCCAGTACCTTTGGGATGAGTTGGAGTGGAGTTTGCAATCCTGAACTAATCATCCAACATCAGTACCTGACCTCACTAATGCTCTAATGCTCTAATGAATGCAATCAGATTCTCACAGTGTTCCAACATTACTATAAAGCCTTCTCAAAAGAGGAAAGGCTGTTACTGCAGCAAAGGGGGGACAAATTCACTATTTATTCCCTTAATTTCAGAAGAAATGCTGCATGAGCAGGAGTCTAAGAACCTTTAGACCTATAGTGTGTGTGTGTGTGTGTGTGTGTGTGTGTGTGTGTACACACAAACACAGGACAAAAGTACAGCGTTGGGTCATATCAACGAACAACTTCTGGGTGGGCAACGCTGGTATGATTACTAAAATAATGTATCACAGTAGAGCAAATCAAAACTAGATAAATAGCTGTTAACGATTTTGATGATAGGAACATACCATACGAATTTGTGAGTTTGGAGGCTGGGAACATAAGGGTCACTGTCTCCAGATGTTGACACCTATGTGGATACCTCTTGTTTAAGTCTTTGTGTGTGCTGCAGTATTCTGCACAGTTGAGTGCCATGCAGCACTTGAAGGAGCAGCTGGAGCAGAGGACGCGGATGATCGAAGCCAATATTAAGAAGCAGCAGGAAGAACTGAGGCAAATACATGAGCAGCTACAGAGGGTTCAGGGCCAAGGACTTCAGGTATTGGACCACTTAAACCCAAATATGCATAAAAGTAGGGAGTCTTTGACGATTTCAATAGGCATCACAGTATACAGTATTTATGTATATATATTTTTTTCAATTAAAACCATTTTGGATGCTTAAGTAAACTTATTTTTGTAGTTTAACAACAATGTGTTTTTGAGATGAACCAGATCACCCACTGCTAATACACCATATTCTATCCCTAAAAAGATGAATACTGTTTCACCTTAAGTGCTTTCAGGTGTATTTGATAGGTTTATTGTTCACTGTAATTAATGGTTTTATTGTAACTGAAGAATATGATAATGCAGTGGGATCACCCATTATATCAACTGCTGTAGGATTCATATGAGCTCAGTCCAGGCATCTCAGGATCAGATGACTTCATGCATTCCCCTTGATGTGAAGATCAGACTGGATTGCTGTACTGACAATAACGCAATTTTTCGTTTCTTTAAGATGTTCCTGCAGCAGTCAGGGGGTGGGGTCAATGTTCAGCTGCCTCAGGTGGGAGGAGCTTCGGTGTTAGGTTCAGGATCTCAAGCTGGTGTTGTAGCTATTCAAGGCCAGAATGTCACAAGCACTGCCCACAATGGAACTCAGCACCTTCTACAGCAGCAGGCACCACCTTCTCAGCAGCAGAACACACAAGGCTCTACCCTTACACAGGTTAGAAACACACCCATGCTGATTTCTCTCTGAGGCTAGCTTTACATGGCAAAACTTCCATGCAACAATTTGTAATATATGAGTTGTGTGAAACATAATTTCTCTAGTGAAGCAATTAACAGTGATCAAAGTCACATGCAGCACTTTGAGTTGTTCCACTAGTTATCAAGGATAGTAGCTAGTATTCTTTATATATTTAGTAACATTCTGGCTTAGTGGGCCAGGTTTTCTGGAGTCGACTTTGTCTCTCGACTCTTTGGTTCCACTTAATTATAACCGATAGAACCAGAGCTGTTGATAAAGGGATACAGCAGAGATAAAACCATCCTAAATGTAGTTTATAATGCTCCCACAGCTAGGATATATATCCACACAACACAGTGCTAAGTTAGGCTACAACTAAACATTATATGTTGCTTCTCTTTAATGTTGCCTTAAGCTATAGCCTACAGACGTGGTATACATAAGTAAAGTATAGGGTCACTCAAAGCAAAAGGATTTTAGTTTATAATAATATTATAACAATAATGTTTATTTATGTAGCACTATTCATGTCGGTGGCAGCTCGAAGGGCTTTATAGACGGGTGATAAAGTTAAACACTTATACAAGAAAGACAGATCAAATTAAAAGATAAACAAGACATAGAGTTTTAATTAAATGCTAAGGTAAAGAGAGACATTTTTAGATGCTTCTTAAAAGTGAGCACTGAGCTTGACTGTCTACATGCGGGATAAAACAGAGCTCAGAGTCTAAGATCACACCCAGGTTTTGTACTTCATGTTTAGTATATGAAGCTAAAGAACGAAGTTTTCTCATAAAGCAATGTATAACTGGGTTTGATCAGCATATCTATGAAAATGTATATTATGTTTTCCAATTTACATCACCTAGAGGTAGCATGTACAAAGAGAAAAGCAAAGGCCTTAAAACTGAACCTTGAGGGACACCACAAGAAATGCCAGATCTTTTTGACAAATGATTTCCAATTGAAACCATGAATTGTCTATTATCTAAATATGATTTAAACCTTTTAAAACTGTGCCCAAAAGGCTGACCCAACATTCAGGTCACTGGATTAAAATCTTGTGGTCAAAAGTATCAAAAGCTCTAATAAAACCAGAGTTGTCGGTTAAAAGTCAGATGTGTTTTGAACTCAGACTTTGAACCAGTTTGGTAGAATGATCCATATAGACAGAAGAGTAAATGGTGCATTTTGTAATTTAAACTTACTTGTATTCAGAAGTAAAATGATGGGTCTTTTAAGTGAGTTAAGTTAGAGGCTTTTTATAGTCCAACACAAGTGAGATAACCCTACCCCTAAATCCACTCTACAATATGAATCCGATGTCACAGACTAAAAGACTGGATTGAATAGTTGTTGTCAGTATGTATTCATAGCATGATGAGACAGCAAATAAGAGAGCGACTGTACTTCAGACAGTTTTTATAAAAGTCAATAAAGGCCCACATCCCATCCCACAACCCTGAAGCACTCGAAGTGATTTAATGCTTTTCTGTCCACTGCCTTTGGCATTTGCACAATTGCTGTTCAGAGAATCCATTAAAGATGACATCATAACGTTGGTCTCCCCTTGTTGCCCTTGATATCACATTATTATGGTAATGGTGTTGGGGTGAATTAGCATTTTTAAGGCCATGTTTTTTTTGCATTTGCTTTTCTTTTTAAACTTCTAAACTGTCTTTCTTTCTGCACTAGAGGGGTCCGGTGTATAACACGATGATGATCAGTCAGCCTGGCAATGCCAATGTGGTGCAGATACCCAGCACTCTGGCACAGAATGTCAGTCAAGGAACTGCAATTAACAGGTACACATTCATACAAATATACGTGTATCCCTTATATGAAGTTCACTTGAACTCATGCTGTGTTCCTTACATAATTCTTCGTTCATTCACAATTGTCGCACCTCCGCAGGTTTCCCACAGGGCAGCAGTTGGTCACAAAGTTAGTGACGGCTCCAATGGCCTGCGGTGCCGTAATGGTCCCCACAACAATGTTTATGGGCCAGGTAGTGACGGCATACAGCCCGTTTGCCCAGCAGCAGGGCCAGACACAGGCCATAGCCCTGCAGACACAGGCAGCCGCACAGTCCGACTCTCAAACACAAGCGTCTGCAGTTCAGTCAGGGCAGCAGCAGGGGGCAACACAGCCACAGCAACAGCAGCAGTTTCTCCAGGTGCCGTGTTACTTGGACAAAATTACATGCAAACACAATTTGCACACTTAGTATCAGCTAATATTGTGACGTTGCCATTACTACATTGAGCTAAACTTAAATTTCACATGTATATTTCATACTTTCATATGTGTTTTTTTAAATTGTTGAATGTAGTGTTGTTGTTAAGACCATTAAAGACTTAGTAGTACTCAAGTCAGAGTTGAGACTAAGACCAGATTAAGACTTTTTTCAGAATATAGAAAGAAGTGACGTGAAATTCATTTGTAGAAAATTGTATGTTAATTGTCATTCATTATAAATGATATATTGATGTATTGTATATGCTTTGTAAAACATAATATTAAATAATACATAGCCTAAAAATATTATGAATTATTATGATATTACAGTTTTTGTCCAACTCTGCATAGTATGTTTTGGAAGCAAATGATGGCGAGGTTATTCTCTGTCACTTCGCTAAAACCTATACAGAATCAACTGAACATACACCAAACAACATACAACCATTTTTATTATTAAATGACAACACAGTAATAATAACATTCCATTCTGCTCTTGGGATGGATCAACAAACAAGTAATAACAAGTTAAGCCATCATGAAAATTATATAATTAGATCAGTTAGAGCCTCAACTCGCAGCAAACAGATCTTATTTCAACGTGTAGAGAATTGAACAGCTTGGTGGAAAAAAATAAACATAAAATGTGGCTGGTGCAAAAGTTATAGCACATATGTTAAGGAAATAGATAGAAATTGTGAACTTAAAATTTGCAGAAAAATGTATTAAAGTATGTTCCTTTTGGAGGATGTGTTAACTTATTTTCATTTAGAAAATAAGTTAAAATAATAATAATGAAACAAAAAAATAATACCAGGAGTATGAAGTTTTTTTTATACTACAGTATATGCTTATTCTTCTTGTTTCTTCTCTAGGGCACTCGCATTCTCCATGGCAACCAGCCTACACAACTGATTCTACAGGCTTTTCCTATTCAGCAACAGAGTGCGTTTGGCACGACGCAGCAACAACAGCGTCAGCAACAGCAACAACAAAGACTGCAACAGCAACAACTGAAGCCTCAGACTCAAAAGCGGCAGAAAGCCCCCACATCTCACCGGACTGACAACACTAGCGGTCAGTCTCAGTGACACGGACGAACACAGAGCCCTATGGTGCTGTTTTTGTCAACAGTATTAATATGGAGGTCATTGGCTAGCTCTTCCGGCTCTGGCAGCAAAGTTCTTCCTTGGTGACAGCTGCGATCAGGTAACAGAAGCCTCTCGGAGAAGGAACTCCTCGCTTCAGTGCCAACGTGGAACAAGACACCGCCAGGTGTTTGCCATAGCAACGGTTCAGGATTCCAAACATTTCACCGCAATAACAGGTGGAGAACAGCACCCTTACAACCAAGTTTTTCCATCTTTTTTTATCCCAGTAATTTATTTAAGCATCAATGTTCAGGAGCATAGTCCTCGTTTGACCTTGCATAAAAGGAACGCTCTCAGAATCTTCTCTGAGAACTCCAAATCTTTACTATCTGTACAGATCCGTGTACCATACCGTGTAAATAAATCCAACCATAAAGGAGCAAAATACAAAGGTTATTTTATACTCTGCATGAGAAGTATAAGCTCTTACTTGTAGTTCTTTTAATTTAGTTCTATTTTAGGCAGGAAATGTTCCGAGTTTTAATCTGGCGTTTTTGTATCTTTCCCAACATCCTAAGATACTCAGTTGATCTTGGCTTCCAAACGGATCTCCATTAGGTTCTTACCAGAATGGCTTGCGAATTTTATTATATCGTAATCCTCATTTCGAAACATACCCGAAGAGGATGGTGTTACCTCTACTCTGTAGGCCAGTGTAGTTCTCAATCTTCTAAGTGCCAACAATCAAAATTTATTTGATATATATTTTGTTGCCTCCATGGCGAATTCAAGGATGTTTCTCCATGCTATGTATAGGATATTGTTTTTAAAAATATGTCTTCCCCTTTACGTTCTATAGCACTTATTGTGTTCACACACACTAAAATGGCCCTTGTGATTGTGATATTTGTGTTTTATGATGGACTGAGCGAGTGAGTGTGCGTCTCTGTGTATGTGTGAGGAACAGGGATGTATGTATGCGTGTATGTGTGCACATGTCAAATGCTTAGACAATATGCAGCTATTTTTATTTCTAAGATAAGAATAAGTAGATATAAACAACAGTGTAACTGTAGAAGCCCTAGAGACCCTGTTCAAACATAAGAAACTCAAAACGTCTCCTATATACCATGCTGTGTAGATTGTGGAAATTATGCAACAAGCCATAACCAATATAAAGTGTGTCTGTATGTGTGAAAGAATGAGAAAGTAGCAGCGTTCCAAAAGCTAGGCTGCAGCTGAGAAATGTGGGTCCTCAGTAGGACTGTCCTATGAATGATCCTTGTTTGTATGACAACGCAAAACAGAACAGTCCACAGGCCACTTTGTCACATCAGTTTTGATAATGGGAATACTGTTGATGTGAATGGTCGTTCAAAACTGGCCTCTTTTTTTAGCAACATGTAGTAAATGTGGCGTAGCACTTTCACCATTGTAATTAGTTATCCAATGTGCCAAATGTAGTTAGTCCTTACAAACACAGGCTGATTGTTGATAATTTGTCATTATGCATTTTATAAAGCAGACACTAGTATTGGGCAATGTACCAGTTAAAGTTCTTCCAAAGGTATTAGTTTTGTTATAGCCTTTATTCTATTATTTCGGTCATGTTTAAAAAAAAGAATATATAAATATAATCCAAGTCTTCTTGAGGGAGCAGACATCAGCTAGAAACGTGTAACAAATCACCTCTTGCTTTTAGACTAGCATGGACACCAGCCACTTGCTGTTTCCTCCCGCACTTACGATGCAGCACTCTCAAGGCCCGGTTCCTTCTGCTGTCGATAGCACTAATAACTTGTAATATATACCAAATTCCATCCATGTCTGGCGGTCTTAGATGAAGGGGACACACATTTACAAATATGTGACAAATAACTTGAGATATTCAGATGCCTAGAGAGGTGTAAGCACCACTAGCTTATCTATACAAAACTCAGTTTCTGTTAGTTACATTTGAATTTACTACATTTGTTAAATATAGTTCTTATTAAAAGTATAGGGACATTGCTGAATAAGCCACTGTTAACCTACAAAAATGTGTTTTCTTAACATGTAAATAAATAAATACACTATAAATACACTGTACAACAAAACTTTTACTTGTACGGTGATAAATTTTTGGCCATAACACCGAATACTAGCTGACACATAAACCAAACTAAACTAATTTAATGGACTTTTTAACATGTACATTACAAGCTTTTGTAATTAAATGAACAAGTTACTCTGGAACAGGAATCCGGCAGATGTGGTTTCATCTGCTGGTGATGCTCTTGAACTTCAGGTGAGACACCTGCCTAAAGGATTACAGGTGACAGAAGACAGTGAAGGACAATCTGGTAGCCAGAATGTTGGCTTTGTTTCTCAGCTGTATTTAAAATCTGCTTCTTTGATGAAGTAACGATCTAGAAATGTAGACCGTCTGGACTGCAGCCTTGCTTTTGGAACACAGCTTTTGGCTTCTGAAGTTATATATACGATTACTCATGCAAGCATGCAAAAGTTTGGGCACTGCTGGTTGCTTGTTTTGTTGATTTTTTTCAGAGAACACTTCTGCACATTTGAATGCACAGTCAATGTTTATTTGCTGAATTTTAAAAGTTTAGGGAAAAAAGTCCAATGCAAAAGTTGGGGCACTTTTGTTATGTTTTATGTAGAGGTATGTGTTATGGAAGAAATAGTATATGATGATTACATTTATATTTTGACAATTATTGTTATTATATTGTTATTATTATTATTATTGTTAATTATATTAACTTCACTAAATCCAGTTAAACAGGTCTTATTATGCTCTCTTTGTAATGAAACCTGCAGTCGGCTGGTGGTATCCATGATTTGCTCAGAAATGCACACGATAACACTAAAATACTGTCGTAATAACCCACCTCTAGTTTTATGTTTATTTTTTCCAATATGTTAAGCTCAGCAAATACATAGAAATTGTGCACTAAAATCAGCAGAAAAATGTCATATTTAAGTGTGTTCTCTGTAGAAGATTTAATTTAGAACCAGGGATATTCAAACTTCTGCATATGACTTCAAGTTGGTCACCAAATTAACATTGTAAGTATGCTTGGTTTTGTTATTTGTAAGAGTGAGTGCTGCGTTATCAAACGTTCCTAATTCTTCCCTCAGTGCTGTAGGGGCTGGACGTCAAACCAGGCGATAACCAATCAGTTCTTGCGTTGCAGTAACATTCTGAACATTCTAGAATGCTCCCCGCTGGCTTGGTAGCTGTATACCTCAGAAATCCATATTATTGAAAGCGTTTTCTATAAGAAAATCCAAAGCAACTTTATTTTCGTATGGTAAAAGGACTTTAGTGCAAAGCTGTATATAGACCGTTAACACTGTCATGTGAAAATGTATGCATTTTTAGTCATTATAGACAGATTGTGATGAGCAGAACGTGTAGATTTATGGACTTCCAAATAAAAACTTGCGGCTTAAGCATCTTCTCCCCCCTAACAGATCCCATTTACGTTACGTTTTGTAGTATTTGTTTACATACTGCCGTGCATCCAAAACCTGCTGAGAGATATATAGGCTTGTGAAGTGTTCACAATGGTCAGTTTTATTTTTTGACAGTATCATGCAAGTCTTAACCAAACAGCAAAAATTAGCTGGTGATTAGATCGGGGCCTCAGGTACTATATTTCTGTCATTTTTCTTTGTCTAGCCACCAAAGATGTTTTGTGGGCACCTTTTAAGACATTCAGATGTACATGGTCATGTATATGGCGCTGCATCTATCCAGTGTCTATGGACTGGGCCCGTGAACTTTTTTGTAACCACGTAAACAGACACCAAATCCGCCATTATGGGTTTGTTTTTTCGCATTTTGCATTTTCTACCACTCTTGTGTAGCCAGAGAGCTGTGAAGCACTCCTGTTGAGCATTTTCACACAATGAACTGATCAAAGTTGAATATGTTGAATGTGTCCCCAAAACAGCTCTTGCAATTCAGCCCCCTTGTTTGCATTACATGGTGGATATTTTTCCAGTTATGATATCAGCCCCTGTAATCCGAAAGGGTAAAATCAGTTAAATCGAATTATTTGCTATGAATTTCCAAGTAACGTAAAAAAGCATCAGTTTACAGATCATGTCTCCATCAGTGTTCTTATGGTTTTGTAAGTGTAGTCCTGTCACTTTGTCAATAACTGATCCTCGCCCATTCTTGGTAATATTCAATCTTGAAATAAAAGAGACAATATATGACTTCATTTTTGTTGTCTTCTTCTATGTTGTTATGTAAGAAATGCACTTGTGACGTTTCCTGAACAATTTATTCTCATTACACATGTACACACATTTTTTTTTCAACCTGTATCAAAACTCTAGTATTTTGAAAATATATTTACAGAATTGTGACACCCTCGTTCTAAACATCACATGCTATGACACTTAAAAATAGTCAATCTTCAAATACATACCAATCAAATTCTTCTATGCGAAACATTTCATGACATTTCTGTTCATTTTAGCTTTCTTTGAAAGTATTGTTTTTAAAATTTTAATTTTTTTGCTACGTCGACTGGAAGAAGCATTACCATTAATGCTAACATGCGATGCAGAAGCCAACAAGGATCAATCAACAAGAAACAGTTTCGCAAAATAATGTTCCTAATAATAACTAAAACCTGGATACCTCAAATAGGCATTGCGTCTGTTAGCTTACACTTTTCTTCAGCAATAGTAGCGTTTTTACTGGAAATGCTTACATAATACAGGACTTCCACTGACTTTCAAAATTTCTGCATAATTAAGATGTAAGATGGTTTGATGTGCACCACTCGAGAAACCTAGTGAGTCAGAATTGTTCAATGGTGGTGATAGGAACCAGACATCTGAAACGTTTAATGCCTCTAAAAACTACTTTACATGAAGTGGTTGTGCATATCGTTGCTGTTAGAGCTAAACCTTGCAAAACCTCCAAAAACAGTAACTTTACAGGAGAAGGAGGGAAAACGTTCTTAAATTTCAATGTAGGTCAATGTAACAAGATTTTATTCCTGGTAATTTTGGACCATTTTTATGTGTTAGTTCATTATTACGTTTGACAGCAAAATAGTCCCCAAATAAAATGTATTTTTTCAGATTTACCACTATTATACCATCAACCCTGCATATAAAACCACAAAAGACAAGTGTAGGTTCACTGGTAGTAAATAAAATGATTTTTATTGATGTTGTAGACATCACGACCCCTGGTTCCTATCACCACCACTGCAAGTTTCTCTCCAGTGAACTATTTCACACAAAAACACTTTTTATATCACAATGACAAAGCTGCAGAGATGTTTAAGAATCTGTGGAAGAGAAACAGGATGCCCATGAAATTTCTGAACATTTCTGATTCGATTACTATCAGGAGAAGCAATAATATAAAAACATCCGAACAACCTACTCCTAACCTTCGATAGATTTTCTAATTACATGACTATGTCATCACCACAGTTGGTTATTAATCTCAATGAACCTTAGTATGTCCATGTTGTAATGATGTTCGGCTAATGGCCGTCTATCTGATGCTAGTACACTAAGTATCAGTTAATGGGCTGACTCTTAAGATACTGTCAACTCAGCTCTTCATGCGCTTAGAATACTGCATGGATCAATACAGTAAAATAGTGCTCAGCTGCATTTAGGTAAACATATCAGCAGTTACACTGCACAGACGAGATGGCCATGCACAGCTAAGACTGACACGGAAGACAAGGCTAATAGATGAAAAGAAGAAAAAAGGTAATGTATGTAAACCACAGTGGAAAAAAAAGGCAAATGGTTGTTTGTGTAAAATGGAATGAAAGTCTGACCTGAAACAAAATGGAGAAAAAAAGAACAATGAGCTGGGCACTAAAGGAAGCATGAGGTCTTTGATCTGAAAGGCTGAGCAAGACCGAGTGATTCTCAGCACGTCCCGTGTTCCAGAAAGACATCATTGGTGGACGGCAGCAGAGGCTCAGTTGGTGCCGTGGTGCTGCTCACTGAACTCAGCCGTTGGGACTGTGCTCTCTGCAGGCCTGGAGGATCTGCTGCATCAATGCTGTTGTTGGTTCCGCTGCTGAGGTTCAAGTAAACCTGTTGGATCCAAGCAACAGGCTTTTTGTTAAGTATCTTAGATTTATACCATATTGTGTACATGCACTTAGGGGACACTTTATTAGAAACACCTACACCATATGTGGCCAAATATATGTGGACACCTGACCATCAAACTTAGAAGAATGAGCATTATTGAAGCTATAACAGCTTCCACTCTTCTGGGAACACTTTCCACAACATTTTGGAGTGTGTATGTGGGAATTTGTGCCCATTCAGTCAAAAGAGCACCTCATGAGGTCAGAACGCTTGGCTCATAATTGACGTTCCAATTCACCACCAAAGGTGTTCAGTGGGGTTGAGGTCAGGGCTCTGTGCAGGCCAACATGCCTTTATGGACCTCTCTGTGTACAGGGACACATTCATGCTGGAAGAGGAAAGGGCCTTTCCCGAATTGTTGATTTTTGAAGCATATAATTGTCTAAAATGTTGTTATATGCTGTTGTATTAACATCACTCTTCACTGGAATTAAAAGGCCCAAACCCTGAAAAGCAGTCCCAGACTATTATCCCTCCTCCACCAAACTTTACTGTGGACACTGTGTTCCAGTTGAGCTCAGTTAACCAGCCAATTCTGATGCATCATTTCTCCTATTTTAGTAACCATTCTCTCCACTGTATTGATGTTTTGAAGACTTCAGTTTCTTTCTAGCAGTCATTTTAGTTATCTGCCTTACTTCTAAATTCACTGGCTAATTAAAAAATACTTAAAAAACATTATACACGTAAAAGTTCGCCTCAAAGCGGGTTTAGTTTTTCAAAAGTTCCTTCCATCTTAAAGATACATCATCAGAAGGTTTATTTTCTATTCTACAGACAGAAAATCTCACTCTAGAGATTACTGCAGCCCCGCTGTGGGATGCAAGTTAGCATGTAGTGATGGTCAGTTTTCTTTTTTAATGACTTCTATGTGCATAATGAATAATATGTACTGTAACTATCTTAGGGGTCCAGAAATATTTTCTAAAATAATAAAAGAACATGACTTCATTAATCAACGTAACTTTATTTTTACAAACTTCACGCTGTAATAAAGAACTCTACCCAAGGAAAATCTGCACAACACTTGGTACTGTGATCCTAAAATAGGACATTTTTTAGCTAGTGTCACAAGATGCTATTACACGACTGGGGGAACACAGGGTTGGTTGTCCCAGTGTTATTATCTGGTACCCCAGGGGGGAAATGTTAAGCTCTGAGGATAAAGATCACATCTTCTTACTTTCTGTATCAGCGCAAGAGATTTAATCTGAGGTGAGTTTCTCTGTGTTTCTCACCCCCAGGTAAAATTCTGAAGTCACAATTAATCAGATTGTGCCCTTTGCTCAAATATGTTGGGCTTTAATGTATTCTTTAGCACAGAGGCCTTTGCAGGGGTTGTTGTCACTCTTTATTGTATTTGAAGCAGTTAAGAGGACAGTGTCTTATTTTTACATCTAATTATGGGTTTGTGATTTTTTTTAGTTTCCATTTTTTCACAAAAATATGAATTACAATAAATATTCTGGAATTTACTAATAAGTTCGATTTTTTCTTTTTAATCTTTTGAAATAAACACAAATCTTCCTTAAATTTTTCTTGTTTTTTGCATAAACCTTGGTATAACCATTCATTATAGGTTGTCACAAACGTATGTATTCTACATGTACTCAAAATCTTATATGAATCATTCTACTGATCATTCTGTTAGTTCAAAGAGTTCAAAACCCCCTGTGGACTTTTAACTTATTTGGACTAAACTTCTTTTGCTTTGAGTGACCCTGTACCTTAATTAGATTTATTTTATTAAAATAAATGATTGAACATTACATGTTGTCAATCACAGCGAAACAAAACACTAGTGACTGTTACGGTACTGACAATTTTAGCTAATTTTGAGCATAACTCAAAAACGCTAGCCAGTACATGACTAGCAAACTAGTACACACTGATTTTCAGACTTTGGGACACATTTACTTCAAAACAGTGGGATCTAACTGCTCACCATGCGGTCATGAGGGACAGGGATGCAGTCTCACTTCCTGCTCTAAAAAGCAGGGGTGTGGCTAAAATAAGGCTCCGCCTAAGTATTAAAACTCTGTGTTTCGGTAGTGACATGAAAACTCGGAAAATCATTTTTTGATTTTTTTTTTTTTACACAAAAATGATAAATAAAAAACACTTTTAAAAAACAACATTAAAAAGTACTATTTTCACAAGTTGAAATGTAGGGGTTAGGGGTTGGGACAGCAATCTCCAGATAGGAAACCTATAAATGATGATTTTGTTTATATTTAGCTTATTACTATCTCACTTAACGTCTTATCTTATCTAACATCTTTGTAAATATCTAAGTTCTGAATAATTCATTATTTTTTTAAATAGTTTTTTTACTGTGTTGAACTTATTCAATAGAACCATTCATATATGTTTACATGTTTGTTATGACTTAGTACCAACAACTCCCAGTGACCGCATGAATAGTGTTTCTCCAGATAATTTTTTTGGGGTCTCGGTTACTTACATGCTTAAAATCAAATGTACATTGGAAGTGTGGCAGAAGGAAGGCGTTTTGCTTCTGTACTGCGATGTATTTTCTGTGTGAAACAGTATTAGGGAGGGTCTCTGAGCTTGCTGAGCATTTTCGCACGATGACAGGTGGAGGTGTTTGGGTGGAGGGGTGAAGCAACACAATATTGTTTAATATTGTATCTAGTACACAGTGATGCAATCAAAATAAAAGATGTTTTAAGGGTGAGCAAAAGACATTACATTAAAGATTACAGGAACACTTTAATTTTGTCTTTTAAATTATATAGTATTAAGAATTGTGCTTAACCAGTGACACGAACTAACAGGGTAAAAAAAGGTCCATTTTCATGTGTGAGGTCTATATGCAGACTGTCGTAAATGGCAATGTCACTCTTTTTCCATCTAGCGTGACCGTTTGTGCTTACAATGCATGTACATCGTCTGCTTAGTTTGTTCGGTTCAACAGTGAATGAATTGAGCTGGTTTATTATACATGTCAATAAACAACACTTACATGTTTTGTGGTTTCTGAGAGCAGCATTTCTGTCCTCTCCACTAGTTTTTTGAAGGTTGGTCTCTTCAGAGGATCAGCGCTCCAACACCATCTCATTACCTCATAGCTAGTAAAACACATACACATAAATATTGTTATACATTTCTGCCATGTACATTCTCTTCTGGTTCATCATAATACCAACAATTGCAGAACACACAGAATATTTATACAAATTGTATGCCCTAGAAAAAACTGAAAAACAGGCATCAGCCATATGATTGAACTATTTTTACAGTAGCCATGAAATGCCATTTTTGGCTGTTTTTGAGGGAGGTCCTTCTGTTGAACTATATATTTTTTCTCCAGTAAGGTTGATGGAATATATTCCAATAAAAATGTGCATGATTTACATATCTGGAAGCAAACTGGATTTTCATCTTCACTAGGGGGCCTGCATCTATCCATTACTGTTGAACACATGCGCCTCCGTCTCTCACATTTCACTTGGAGCAAATTCTGGCTCACTCATCCTGTATCCATCCTGTATCATCTTGTAAAACATAGAGCCAACTGGAACTCCAGGATATGGGCTGTTACCTGAGGGGAGAGTGGAATCATAATATGTTTAGATCTGATATCTTGTCATAAGATATAGGCTCTTATTCCTCAACGTTGGTAGAAGATGGTAGAACAATGTAATTGTTTACTGTGATTTTTCTGAAATAAAATATTTAAACAGTTTTGGTAAGTTAACCACAAATCAAGCATCTTTTTCAGGTTGTTAAAATATTATGTTCAAATTTATATGCACTCCTACCAGACACGAGTTTGAGCATACAGATATGCCGAAGATGAAGCTGATTAATAACAAAACTGTCAGTGAAATTTGTGTGTGCTTTAATGAGTAAGGGCTATTCTGTTTATAATTTTTATTCTCTCTTAATCTGTTTTTAGCAGGCCTGTGGTCAGGCTGTACTTACCCAGAGAGAAGATCTCCCACAGTAAGATGCCATAAGACCAGACATCACTTTCAAATGTGTACACACATGAAAACAGACTCTCTGGCGACATCCATTTCACCGGGAGACGTGCCTGGACCACAAACATAATAATATCAGTTAACAGAAACATTAAAGATGTTATAAGCAGAAAACAAAGACCATAAAATATGCAGTAAATTAGCTAAACACTTTCTTATGCTTAAGGTGGAAAGTCTGTATATACACTACATTGCCTGTTTATTAGGTACATTGTACATTGTACCTACATTTGTTGCCCATTTTATCAGAAACATCTACCATGTAGGTGCACTTTGTAACTTTACAGTTACTGACTGTAGCCCATCTGTGGCTGTACAATTTATCAGCCACCTCTAGTCCCCATCCATTTAATGAAAAGGGACCACCATAGAACCACCACTGACTAGATATTATTTGGATGATGGATCAGTTTCACCACAACCTTGTAGGCGTACAGTTACTTCCATACAAGTCCTTCCATGGTGGCTCCACCTCGCAATTTACAGGACTTAAAGGCTCTGCTGCTAACCTCTTGGTGCCAGAGACCACAGAGCACCCTCAGAGACCTTGTAGACAGGGCCAATTTAATGCACAGGCTTACCTGGGCTGAAGCCCAAGGGATCTGACTAGGGCCTGAGTAGACTGATAAATCAATGCGATGATCCAGTTATTAATCTCAGTGTTACTGAGCTCTGCTAAAGCCTGAGTAGACAGATAAATCAATGTGATGTTCAGTTATTAATCTCAGTGTTACTGAGCTCTGCTAAAGCCTGAGTAGACAGATAAATCAATGCGATGATCCAGTTATTAATCTCAGTGTTACTGAGCTCTGCTAAAGCCTGAGTAGACTGATAAATCAATGTGATGATCAGTTATGAATCTCAGTGTTACTGAGCTCTGCTAAAGCCTGAGTAGACTGATAAATCAATGTGATGATCAGTTATGAATCTCAGTGTTACTGAGCTCTTTTAAAGGAATGACCAAACAATCTTCTCAGTAGTGGACATAATTATAAGTGATAAGTTTAGCATCTGTGCTGTGCAACAGTGACTGACTGAAAAAAGTAATGATTTTTTTAAATGATGATGAATTTCTTATGAAACACATAGAATAATTGTATGAAGAACAGTGCGAAACAATAACAGCAAGGAACAGTATAAGTTACGAAAAAAAAAAGTTTTCCCATCTGCTTTAACAATTATTTTATACATATTGTAAATGTATTCTAAATGTATTCTGAATATGTTACTTTTTATGTATTATAACACATACATTACCAAATACATTTAGGACAGTGTGATCAGTGCAGATACACCAGACAATAAATTGACAGAACAATAAAAACACGACAGTAAATATTAGACAGGACAATAAAACAATAAATAATGCAGTATATATTTTGCAGTAATCCATATTTAAAATAGAATAAAGTCCACAATGAGTTTGGAACAACAAGCATGAGACAAGCAGCTACTTACGTTTCCTCTTAACACGTAGTTGGAGTCTTTGGTGATGTCACGAGCCAGACCAAAATCACAAATCTTGGCAACCCGACCCTGAGTCAGCAAAACATTTCTTGCAGCCAGATCTCTATGGATACACTAGCCATGCATAAAGAAGCGCACAGATAGATTAATATTTGGGACTTTTTTTTTAATCACACCACAAATGCAACATGAACGCTGTATAAAACAATGATAAATATTTATGCTCTTAAAGTATTGTCTTTTATGTCATCAGTTTTAAGGCCCAGTCAAACTTTCTGTTCATGAATTACATGAGTGAAATTCACCTTGATCAACAGATCAACAGTTGCTGAACTCTGACATTACATCAACCAACAGCAAGTACTTTTCTGGGGACAACTTGTTAAATTGCAAACAGGGCACATTCCTTCTAAAACTCACCTCCAACTTCATGTGGCCTAGTGCAAACTAGCTAGCGAAACGTTATCATTAGCTAATTGAACTATTTTCCCCCTGCAACAGGAATGTTTGGTTTTGCCACATTTAACATGTTCTTTCCACACATGTCACAAAGTGTTTGAAATTTCACACTCAAGTTCATCACAAATTTTTTATGGTTACATTACACTCTTTTTGTTCCCGACTGGCTAAAAAATGAATACCTAAAACAGAAGTGTCATGGTATTCAGTCAGTTTGGAGGCAGAATTAGGTAGTTTATCTACCTTTACCTTTGTGTTTTTTTTGTTGTGTGCTAGCTTGCTAACTGCACAAACTTGGATTTTGGATCTTTTGCTTCAGCTTTTTGCAAAGGCAATGCAAACTGCTGCTTTCCTGCATGACTGTGGCTTTACACATGGACAAAGACTCTTACATTTTTGGAAGTGAGGAAGTCCATGCCTTTAGCCACTTGATAGGAGAAGCTGAGCAAATCCTCTGTATCAAGAGATAAGTCGTCCTTATCATCACTCCATTCTAAGAAAGAGAGAGGGAGAGAGATAATCACATCTAATTTCTGATCTGGGATTACAGATTAGTAGTGATGATGATGGAACAGGTCTTACCTGTCTGATTTGATCTCTTCTGATAGGATCTCATAGGCACGTAGCCATTTTCTGTGCCTTCCCTAACGTACACATAGACAGATACGTATATGGATGTGTGCACATGCTCACGCACGCATACAACTATGGAATGGACTTTTCATTACAAATGATGTAACATACAGTAATTTGCAAAGGTTTGAACACTCTCACTTAAATGACATGTTTTGTTGATTTTATACACGAAAATATAGTCACGGAAATTCAAAAATTTACAGTAAATATTCTGCAAATATTAGTGCACATTTTCTATTTATTGGAAAATAATATATATATCTCATTGCTGTCGGGAAAAAACCTTGTATCTTCATTTTTGTCGTTTCAGTTTTTGACATAATTTGAAAATGCCTGTTGTCCCTAACATTGTGTGTAAATTTCATGATAATTGAACCAACAGAAATGGCCCAAAATGACTTGGAAAAATGTCTGGTTCCATTGACTTACATTAAAAATAAAGCAGGTTTTTCTCTTTCCTGTAGTTATCATTTTGGAGATATGAGGTCTTTATATATATATATATATATATATATATATATATATATATACTATATATATATACATATGTAATGTGCCATAGCGTTTGCATAGGCCACATTTTTCGTTACATTTTTGTGCCATTCTGCAATAAAATGTGGTGACAGGAAACCCCAAACTTTTGCATATGACTGTACACTCTTAACAAAGAGGGTTCTAGATAGTACATGGTTTGTATTACTTGTAACATTTTTGGTGCTACATAGAGCTGTTTTTGAAAGGTTCTGTAAGCCCCTTTCACAGAAATTATAAATGTCCATTCAACTTGTTTAAGAGGTCCCTTTGTTTTTGCACTACATATTTTTTCTTTAATAATGTTGATGGAACATATTTCAGTGGTAATGTGTATGATTTACAAAATCAGAAGTAAACGTGTTTTCTGTGTTTGCAGGTGAGCAAGCAAGTCAACATTTCTGTAAGTGTTTTTATTGTGTTGTGTTTATACTTAGTTTATACTGCGTTCATACTTAGTTAGCAATTGAGTCCTCTTAGTCTGGACCAAAGCAGAAAGTGATACATTGAGGCATTTCAGTTCTGGATTTCTTAACATTCTCTCTGACATATCTAACATTGAACCAAAAGATGTAAACATAAGTTATAAGAGCAAAAGGTCATAACCTCTCCACTCACTTACTCTAACAAACCATACTTACAACTGCACCAGGGTTCGCTTTAATCAAACCAAACCTGCCAAGTCTGAAAACACCCCAAATGTTTTTATTCTGACAGTTGAGTCCTAATTAATGATTTGAAGAAAACTGAAGTTGTGCTGTCTGTCTCATCTCGGCACAGGCGTCTTTGTGGAGGGGTGGGAATTGTTTCACAGCAGAGGTTCCTCACTCCTCCCTTTTCGCCCTTTATTGCTCACTAGCAACTCAACTGATAGTCAGATCATTTCCCACACAGAGAGACAACAGTGTCCTAGTTCATCTGATAACAGACGTTGAGAAATCAATTTTATGTGACTATATTAATTTCAAATATTCAAGTTGAATGGAATGGCCATTAGTTGAATGGAATGGCCATTAGTGGGCCTGAAGAAAGGGGCTACAGAACCATGTACAACATGTTCTCCATCTCCACCACTGCCTTCCCTAAAGAACCCTTGAACCCTCTTTTTTAAAGGATGTACATAAATAAGACAGGTATGGAACAAAGGACAACCAAACAGCCATACAAATCTGACATAAAGGCACACACAGACATAAAGGCACACACACCCTCTTACCTTGAAGGCTGTGTTTGACTGAGAAGGTTTTTGTAGTATCCGTCACCTGTTTTAGAGCTGAAAAAAGCATCTCTCTTTCTCCTCAGGAAGTTCAGTAGATCACCATAGCAGCAATATTCTGTGATCACCAGAGTAGGACCTGTTGTGGAGAGACCTTTTATGCAAATGCTCAAATGTAAATGTAAACACTAAAGCTACATTATGTCTGTTTTTGGAAAAAAAATTTTCAAAAAGTAACATGAGTGAGTCAGTGGAGAACAAATACACTTGGTTCTAGTATCCACACCTTAGATATCAGGATATAAGGATTATGTTATGATCTACTGAAATCCAAAGCAAAGTTGAAATATATTGGATTTTTCACAAGTTTAATTTTAAGGCTCCATTTTAATTCTTCTTTTTGAAGTTTCACACACCCACTCGGATGTGCATCACTCTTAAGTTACACAAGTCGGCACTCACAGCAGAAGGAGACAGTTCGGAGCAGATTATTCAAATGGAACGCACCCACCCTCAACAGGTTAGCCTTAGTTAGCAAATCAGCTAGCCACGCAAACTTTGCAATGCAAAATGTATTTTAAGACGTTTGAGCATAACGTACATAACGTTTGTAAGTAATTGCTGTCTGGCTATAAACTTGGAAGCATTGTGTAATGCCTCACTTTTTGCTCTCGTTAGCCTTGTAGCCTTTAGCATGTTAACAAGCCAGCTAACAGAGGGAAGTGATGAAGCTGTGTCAGCAGTCATGTACAACAGATGGAGTAAACCCAGTAAAGTGAATATTCTGGTTTTGAAATGTTGAGCATTTTAAACCAGTTTATTGCTATAGCTTATAAATAGCTTTGTCTGCCATTATTTTCAGATTTGAAAAGGTAAATGCGCCAGGTTGCAATGATTTCTGGGCAAGTTCTGCAGTGCCAAAGTCGACACTGGTGTTTGCTCGATCCCTCGCCACTCCGAGGATTCTTCTAACACTCTTCACTTGAGCTAATAAAGTAATGGAATAGCCCTTAAGATGGTGCTGGGAATTCCCCCAAGGAGAAATGACGAATCCAAGTAGACGAGAGCTTGTTAAACCAGTAATGAAATGGGGGGGGGAGGAGTTTTAGTCCCTAGACAGAGCCTTATTTTAGCCACACCCCTGCATTTTAGAGCAGGAAGTAAGACTGCAACCCTGTCCCTCATGGCCACATGAAGTAAAGGTGGCTGAAAATGTCAAAAATCAGTGTAGAACGTTAAGAATTGTTGCAATTTTTGTGTTTTAATGAAAAATGTTATGATTTTATGTGTAAACGACTGTTAAAAACTGTGTTTTGCGAGTCATGTACTGCCTAGCATTTTTGAGTTACGCACAAAAATTAGTAGCAATGTGCTTATGAGTGTACAGAACTACGGACTTTACAAAAGTGTTCTTCTGCAAGTTGGTTTCAATGGCATCTTTCAAGTACATTCTTCAAATTTAGAAAGTTTTGAATTAACTTGATGATAAGAATAAAACACTGGCTTCTGATGTGCAAAACACAGTTAAAAACACTTAAATACACTTAACCGCTCCCCTCTGTGTCCTCTGAATCAGCTGATTTATAGATCTGACGTCATATGAACTGAGTTTCAACTCTGAACCTGTTGACCTCTTACCTCCTACCGTACAGGCACCAAGCAAGTTGACAATATTCATGTGGTTGCCGAGGTAACTGAGAACCTTCAGCTCTGACATCAGAGCCTCCTTTTCAGTAGAGTGAGCACTCGCTGTACACACACACACACACACAAAACCACAAGGGAAAATCAGTAAAGAGACATTGGAGGCATTTAATCAAATTAGCTCCAGACTCAAAATGGGCTCTTTGTCCACATTCACTGACTCACACGAACACACAGATACTTACGCTTGAGCATCTTAACCGCAACAGTGGTGACTGTGTCAGGTGAGCAAAGGCCATATGCAGTAGCTGCCACCACTTTACCAAAAGCTCCAGAGCCGAGGATTTTACCTGCATACACATGCACACAGTTTTAGCCAGATTAAACAAAGTTTAAAAAAGTATTTATCACTGCTGTCAGAACAAAACCTTGTATCTCCATTTTTGTAGTTTTTCAGTGTTTTACATAACTTGAAAATGCCTGTTGTGGTTGTGTGTAAATTTCACGATGAGTGGACCAAAAGCAACGGCCCAAAATTACTTGGAAAAGTCTGGTTACACGGACTTACATTAAACTTAAAGCATGTTTTTTCCTTTTCCTGTAAAGTTACCATTTTTGAGATACAAGGTTTTGTTCTGAGAGCAGCGATATATACCCCTTGTGTTTGGCTGCCATTGTGTCTCATTCATAAAGCAGCCCAGGTTGAAACACTTCTAATAACCTCACTGTGAATGGAAGGGGCTGCTATGGTCTGAAAAGGTGGATATATGTAAATGTGTTGGTTTTTGTGGCATCACAAAAGCAGTAAATTCAAAGTAGACTGTTTTTGCTGCTTAGTTTCCATATATGGGGAGTAAAAGGTACATTTTGAAACTTTGACAGTGTTTACTTACCTACTTAAACCATTTGTTAAAAAATGAAAGTCACTTTTATGTGATATAAGCCTTTAAAGAGCCTATACACTTTTCTTGGATTTAATTTAAAAACAGTTAAGTTGAAGTTTAACTCTGCAGCAAACACTTTTCTATGCACAATTTCTATTTATTAGTTATTAGTATTAATAACTAATAGTACTATTAGTATGTACACTGCATGCTGAAGAATATGTGTAAAATAAGCAACTGTTTACCAAAGCGCAGTCTCTCTCTTGGGAATTCCCACTTGGGATCATAAGGCAGCTGGGTGGGGTCGATATATGTGTAGCTGTTGCCATGGATGCTGTCAATCACCTTCCAGTGGATCTCGTATTTAGGTTTCTAAAGTTAAATTGGAGGCAGATAGGAAGAAAAACAAATGAGGCAACTCATGGCAGAGTACCACACCTACTAAAACACGTCAAGAATTTTACTTTGACGTTAATTACTGCTTTTACAGGTTCTGACTGATAATAAACATCAGACATTCATAAAAATGTTGAAATTCTACAAGGTCATGTTTCCCCTTTGATAAGTGTCACTTTTTGCAGTTCCAGTGCAAAACATTATTTCATATTAGAGTGTTGGAAAATTTGAAGAGAGGGAACCCTCATGGCCTTCTAGGCCTTCAGAGAATTAATGATTTCTAAAAACTAAAAAACACATGTTCCCATTCTTAGAAATCTATAATTTAATTGCTGTAAGTAAACTCTGCAGGAATTGTAGCGATACTTTTATGTCATTGTTAAGTTTTGGTTGGAAATACCTGATGCAAAGTTATCCAGTCATGGCTGTTTTTTCCCATTGTATCTAGGTAGAGCTAGCTCTCTGATTGGTTAGCCCTTCAGTATCTGAACTGAAGGCCTTAGGATAACCATTAGGGGCACTGCTTGGCCTGGGCTTCCAGGCTATAGCCCTAAATATTTTTTAACAGCCCTGACCCTAAAAATATAATGTGACACAGGGGCACAGTCACCTATTCCTCAAACTCATGCGTGAGAGAGAGAGAGAGAGAGAAAGAAAGAGAGTGTGCTGTGCAAAAGAGAGAGTCATTGTCACTAAGCCTTAGAAAAATCTGGGTCCACACCCCCAATGAGCAAGCCAAGACAAAACTCCCTGAGATGTTTTTTTGTCCTAATCTGCTGATGCTTGCTTTTTAGAAACAACAAATTGGTTGAGTGACTTAAATCTTGCAGGCTTATTATTTTTAAACTGTAGACCTGTATGTCTACAAGGATTATGTTATGATCTATTTACCCAAGCTATTAATTGAGATACAGCCCCATTTCCAAAAAAGTTGGGTGTGTGAAATGTAAATAAAAACAAAATGCAATTATGTGCAAATCATTTAAAGCCTTTTTTTGAAAAATATTTTCCCATTTTGAATTTGATGCCAACAACACATTTAAAAAAAATTGGGATGGGGGCAACAAAAGGCTGGTAAAGTTGTGTAATGCTAAAAAAAAAGTTTCAACATTTGATATGTTGTCTTTGTAGTATTTTCCTTTCCCTTGATTTTTTATAGTAAAGCTGAAACGTTCAGATTTTTTGCCCAATTTGACTCCAGTTACTCTTTGCATTATGTTAAAATTTCATTTTGAATGAACCAATAGAAATGATCCAAAATTACTGGAAAAAAAAATATTATATTGATTTTTATATATAGTAATTATGTGCAACTGTCCATTTTATCAGTAAGTCAACCTGATAACATTGACAGTGAGTGTAAATACAATTTTGTTATGCCTAATACTGTGACTATATATAAGACTATACACATACAGTTTATATAAACTTTGTGTTATTATATAACATTTACCTGCATGTACTTGTAGAGGAGCACAATCAGAAACAGAGTGAGCAATACAGAAGCTGATACGACTCCAGTCAGTAGAGGGGTGAAAAGTTTATGAGGAACTGTCCGCTCTGCATGAACACACACAAACACATAACTAAAGACAGTAAAATGTATATGTTATGATACTAATCGTTATAGAGAAGGTCCATGTTTGTGGACATCTGTGTTTTAAACCTGTTTAGAATGGCTTAGCATCAGTATCAAGTCCTGCTGTGCTCACGCTGCACAAAATAATCCCTCTAAATCCGTTTGTGGATGATAGATATGCGTGTGTGTGTCTGTGGGTAGAAGGATTAAAGTGATTTGAGTGCCTGTCTGGAAGCAAATAAGTTCATGTTTATTTGTTTCTGTAACCGTTTCTGAACATTTGGGGGCCCTAAGCAACATCTTACTTACCCAACCCAATTATCCTATTTTGGATGCAAGACTAAACAACAATTAATGCTGTTTTGATTAGGACAGAAGTTAGAATAAACTTAGAATGAATGATAAGGTGTCATAAAAAATAATTAAATATACACAAAGGAAACAGAACCTTTAAACACCTAACATGTCTATATTATTGAAATATATAATAATAAAATAAATGCAAAATAAATACAAACAAAATCAGTAACAACATCTGCTTAAGTGTGCACATCTTTTTTAGGAAGCAAAGTCATCAGCGATGTCTTCATAAGACATTTTTATGTCATGACTGACACAAATGTTAAAAAAATTAACAAGAATGACATACTTGCTGGGCATTTGACACACTTTTCTCTATGGCTCGGGGGCTCTAAGCAGCTGCTTATACAGCTGATAGCAAGACACAGAACTGCTTGTTTCACAATGTGACTTAGGGGTGGGCAATATGCCAATGTGTCATCATTATTGTGAGAAATTACATCATAATATGCTTTTCTGAGTGCATTCCAGATAATGACTGCATTTATCATAAAAAGGACACATTTAGATCATTTAGGTCATCAATCATATAGAGTCTGTAAACAACACTAAACAACAATTGTAAGTAGCTGTCTGGATGGCAGCCTTGTTTTTTTTTCTCCTGTTCCTTCTTAAATAGTTTATTTTTGTAAACAGATAATTAAGTAGTGTGCATGTATTAGTGTGTGTATTTCTGTGTGCCTATGTGTGTATTAGTGTATGTGTGTTAGTGTGTGTATTAATGGGTGTGTATTAGTGTGTGTATTAGTGTGTGTGTTAGTGTGTGTATTAGTGTATGTGTGTTACTGTGTATTAATGTGTGTGTGTGTGTGTGTGTGTTAGTGTTTGTTAGAGTGTGTATTGGTGTATGTGTGTTAGTGTGTTCATTAGTGTGTGTATTAGTATGTGTGTGTTTGTGTGTGTATTAGTGTGTGTGTTAGTGTGTGTATTAGTGTATGTGTTAGTGTGTGTATTATTGTGTGTGTTTTAGTGTGTATTATTGTATGTTAGTGTGTGTATTAGTGTATGTATGTTAGTGTGTGTATTAGTGTGTGTTAGTGTGTTTATTAGTGTGTGTGTTAGTGTGTATTAGTGTATGTGTGTTAGTGTGTGTATTAGTGTATGTGTGTTAGTGTGTGTATTAGTGTATGTGTGTTAGTGTGCATATTATTGTGTGTATGTTAGTGTGTGTGTATTAGTGTACATATGTTAATGTGTGTATAGGTGTGTGTATGATAGTGTTTATTACTGTGTGTGTATTTTTGTGTATGTGTTAGTGTGTATGTATTAGTGTATGTATATTAGTGTGTGTTAGTGTGTGCATTAGTGTGTGTATTAGTGTATGTGTGATAGTGTGTGTATTATTCTGTGTGTGTTAGTGTGTGTATTAGTGTATGTGTGTTAGAGTGTGTAATAGAGTGTGTGTTTGTGTTACTGTGTGTTAGCATGTGTGTGTGTCTCTCTCACCACTGATGGAGAACAGTGTGTACGCCTGTTCCCCCTGTGTTGTTGCTACACACTCCAGGGTGTGGTTTTTTCCTTTGCTGATGTTGAGGCGGCTCTCCACCTCAGTCCGGCCGAACTCTGACCCCGACACTGTTACTATGGCAGCATCATCGTGTTCTTGTGTGGCGTTCAGCAGCTGGGAGCATCTGAGAGAGGAGATCAGGACTTCACCATTAACTCTCATCATTATCTCACCCTGATCGTCATTTTGTCAACAACTCAACAACTCAGATGTGAACGGTAAACTGATGCAGTTGAAGCATCACATTTGCTTCAGATCTTGAAATAAACGCTTTTATTAAAAAGATTTATATGTAAAATCAGGTTGAAGCAAAATTGTGAGTTTTGGAATAACTGCAGGTTTGTAATGTTTCTGATGATTATTTCATACCACTACTACCACTACTAATAAAAATCAGCAATAATATTAATAATACTATAACAATAGCACTTTTCATACAGTGCTAGGTCAAAGTGCTAAACAAGTGGCAGAAGAAATTAAAACTGAGTTTGCTTTTTGTCTATTTCAGTTGCTGTTGGGGAACAGCAGTATGAGAAAACATAAATAAATAAATAAATAAATAAATAAATAAAGGTATTGATTTAAATATAAAGTAATGATATAGATCAAGTAAAAAAGAGATATAAATTTAATGAAATGTGTCTTAAAAGTCTTAGTCTGAGTTACACAGTTTAGAAACATAATAATACAAAGAGTCTCTCCATGTTTTCAGTATTTTACGGAGGGTATTTGCAGAAGGCCAGTATCTGCAGATCTAAGATGACATGCTGGAATGTAAACAGAGAGACGTTCTGTGAGGAGCGCAGGTTCTGCAAGGCCATTTAGAGATTTAAAATCTACTCTAAAAAAATAAAATGCAGCTAGTGTAGTTCTTTCAGAACAGAGGTGATATTAACTCTCTTTTTTGCTTTTGTTAGGATCTGTTCTGCTGCATTTTGTCTTCTCCTGTAAAAAGAGCTTTAAAGTAATCAGCTCTGCTTGTAACAAATGCATGAACGAGTTTCTCAGCATCGCTCTGAGAACTGTAGCAACACTCTTCAAATGATAAAAAGCGAGTTCACAATTTGCATTGATCTTCATACCGTGTGTGTGGAGGTTCGCAGTAATACCAGGAGATTTTTGGGACAGGATATCCTGATGCGACACACCTCACCTGTCCATCAATGGGACCCTCCTGAGAAACAATCATAGGCTTACCTGAGGGAGGGAGAAAAAAAAGGTAGAGAGAGTATTTATAGTAGTTGACGCTACTGCCTGTGATAGAAAAGGCATTTTTTAATTTTATGCTAGTTATTTCCCACTCACAGCTCAAGCAAGCAGGGGAGTTCTTTTGGAAGTGAAATCCTAAACTTCAAAAAATACCACATTTGCATTTATAAACAGAAGAAGAGATATTTCATTATGGTTTGCATGTGACAAAAAAGTTACTGTTCTGCTTGTTTTACAGGAAGAACCCCTTGTTCACACTGAAACATGGGGAATGTAACACGAGTATGTAATCTAAGTAGCACAGCAAAACAACAATAATGACTCAACAACTTTTAAGGGTTAACACCCTCAGCATCAACTTAACACCAGCATTTTACGCTTGTCAATGCTTTCAGTCCAGTGCTGGACACAAATAAACACTGTAAGAGTGCATTCAACAATGAGTATGCACAGAAAAGATGCGGCTGCAATATGTGCCTAAAATGCGTCTGAAATTAGCGTTCGGTTTATTAAGGCTGTAGTTAATCATGCAAACTGCATATAGGACCGCCTACTAACTGCAGGCCTTAAAAAAATGCAGCAAAATAGTATTAATGAACAAAATTCTTTCCCACCAACACATTCTACAGACTAAAATCCTTTTCTTTTGAGTATTTCTATATCTTAATCATGCTCATTTTATTAAAATAGATGATTTTGTCACAACCAAAACATCTTAACACAAATGAAAAACCAAATCTCTCTGTAGTGACTGTTTCAGTAGGGACAATGTTAGCTTATTTTCAGCAGAAGTTAAAAATGCTAGCCAGAACATGACTAGCAAATACAGCTTTGAACAGTTGTGCTTGCTAATCATGATATTTTTCATTAAAACACAAAAAATGACTTAATTACAGAAAATATATGTTTCGATAGTGACAATTATTGATGTTTCAAGCTTTGGGACACATTTCCTTCAAAACAATGGGATCTAACTGCTCACCATGTGGCCATGAGGGACAGGGATGCAGTTAGATGCAGGGGTGTGGCTAAAATAAGGCTCCGCCTATAGACTTAAACTTGTTGTGTTTCAGTTGTGACATGAAAATGTGAAACAGCATTTTTGGAATAAAGTTTTTTGTACTTTTAAAATTAAATTCATGATAAATTTTAAATCTTTACCCTTTCAATTATGATTTTGTATATATTTAGCTTATTACTGTCTCAATTAATGCCTTAACATTATAACATCATCAAATGCACAGCAATTAAAGAGATCCTAACATAATCCTTGTAAATATCTAAGGTCTGATTACTAAATTGTTTTGTTTTTCTTACTGGGACTGCAGTTTGAACTAATTCAGTAGAATGGTCCATATATGAGGTAGAAAAGCACTTTGTGCTGTTTTGTACAGAACATGCATAAATGCAACTCATTTGCACCTAAAATTGTGCAAAAGTTTTTTTACCTCAGGCCCTCCCGATTTTACGAGCACCAAAAAGACGACGGAGAAGGAAGAAAGTGAAGGGAAGGAGAGAAAAAGACAACTTACAAATGACATGGACGATAAACGATTGATTGACAGATGCATAATCGTGATTGGCTGAGAAACTGTAGAAGCCACCCTCTGAGCCATGAACGCGAACCAGTTTCAGCTCACTGATGTACCTACAAACATTCAGACAATGTTAAAGAACATTCAGAAAACATTCAGTGAAGTCCTATACAGAAATCGACAACACCGTGCTGCAACAGGACTTTGTTCTAAGCACAAAGTGCAATAAGACTGGTAAAGCTGCCTTTTGTTATTATGTACCGATGATTTTGAACTCTTTTTCCATTGACTTCCTTTATCCAATATTCATTAGTCATGTATCATTACTAGCTTTAAAAAGCAGCGGGAAACATTTTAAATGTAGCCTTTTATTAGCTGTTCCTTACATATTGCAAATATTATTTTTGATATAAATATTTCATTTTGCTAATTGTGTAGCATTTTATTTCTTTTTCATTCAATTTTTAATGCTTTTCTAGTTTCTTGTGTGGCACAATGTATTTTATGACACATTGTGCCACACACTGTTTCATTTACCAGTTTTACTGTTTTATTTAAAGGGCCCCATTTCTACATTTTTTTGTACTCTATTTTTCCATTTATGACATTTGTTTGACACCCAAAACTGTCATAATTAATTTTTTACATGGCCATTTTCCATTATCTCTTTATCCCTTGAAATAAAACTAATGTAGTTATGAAATAAAATGGTGTTGTTACTGTTCCTACTGTTTTTGTAAAGTGCCTTTAATATGTGTGAATGACCTTCATTCTTATTCCTGTATTGTTGCCTCATTTAAAATGCTGTCGAGGTTGAAACACTCCTTATAACTTCAGTAAGACAGACATAAGGTACATGGTATAATCAAAAAATGAAAATATTAAGAGAGAGAAAGAGTGACTGTCTGTCTGTCTGTAATACCTGTATTCATTGTTGTGTAGTGTGATGACATGCTCTGATGTGTTTTTGAGCAGCTGGTTGTTATAGGTCCAGTAGGCAGCACTGGGTTTGGGGTAGGAGGTCATTTCCACTCGCAGTGTAAGACTCTCGCCTTCTCTCACCTCCAGAGCCCTATCCTCCTCTTCTGTTACATTAATGAAGCCGCGCTCTGTAACACACACACATTTCGACATTCAGCTGAATAAAAGGCTTGGAAAGGACATACATACAAAGTCACAGCAATGGTTTGGCCAAAGTTTTATATTGTTGTTGACAGTGTGAGATATACTATTATCCATAAAAATGGACAAATGTATGTAGCAAAGTTTCATTTGCAAGCATTACTATTTTATGTAACAGTATGACAAAAACCACCATGCCTGATCACCAGCAAAACCAGCATATGTTGTGGCCTAAAAGCTGGTGTCCTGGTCAACAGCAAAGAAGTTAATATGCTGATCACCAGCAATACCAGCATATGCTGTGTTTTGGATGCTGCTATGCCTGTTGACTTTTACATTGTATGTAAATTTCATGATGTCTGGACCAAAAAAACAGCCCAAAATGACTTGGAAAAAAGTCTGGTTCCATTGATTTACATTAATAGTAAAGTAGGTTTTTTTCCTTTTCCTGTAAAGTTACCATTTTGGAGATAGGAGGTTTTCTTCCGACAACAGTGATATGTTGTGTTTTGTATGCTGGTATGCTGGTCAACTAGCATGACCATGTTGGGTAACTGGCTAAACCAGCACCAGATCAGCACTAAACAAGCATAAACCAGCACAAACCAGCTTTGACCAGAATTCCTGCATTAAGAAGTTATATGGGTTACTCAGTACTAGTTTTTCGAACCTGATGAATTTGTACGTCTACTATTTTTTTTACAGTATCAATACCTTTACTTGATTCTGGGTTTAGTCAACTCTATGACAACTTTATGGCAGTATAACTGCAGTCCTGGAGGGCCGCTGTCCAGCACAGTTTTGTAGTTCACCTACTCAAACACAGCCACAATTGTGAGATGAGTTTCAGGTGTCTTTGAGAAGGGTAATCACCAAACTGTGCTGGACAAGAACCCTCTAGGACTGGAGTTGTGCACACCTGCTCTATGGTAACTCTGGTGGAGACTGGTCTTGGCTATTGTGCAAAACTATGCAAATTTGACTTTTGCACTTTTTTTGCTGCTAGTATGAGTGGTAGGAGAAAGCACTATATGATATGCATGAAGTCCTGTCCCTTACCATACACATTCAGGTTAACAGTAGCTGTAGAGACACCTCTCTCATTTCGGGCCTTGCAGATATAGATTCCTGAGTCAGTTGTCTTCACGCTGCTAATCCACAGTATTGCTGTGCGCTTGTAGCCACGGGAACCAGGCAAGATGTGAGAGTTGTGTGACTCCATCGCCTTCTGAATCATCAAACATCAGGAGGTTACAATGACAAGTCAGGTAAGCCATTGTATATGTCCAAAAGTATCCAGATACCCTATCCAGACTTTAATTTATTAAAATCTGCCCCAACAATATTCAGGTCACATGCATATCCACACTGGGCATAGTGGTTTGTGTGTACTACTGAGTTTTCTTTCAATGTATAAAAGAAGCCTTACACTGCCTTGTATTGCTGTATGCGCTGTGTCAGTTTCTGAGTGAGCGTTTGCACACATTCAGAACAGAATTCAGAACATTAAGAGCTTATTATTGATTTGATTTATCATTGAATGACTGAAGCATGAAATATATTCCTCTGCATTTCTTTGCTGCTCAAAATGTGACACAAACAGAATAAAAATCAAGAGTTTTTCATCTTTGATAGATTATGTTATTTTTTGCACACAGGCCTAAAATCAACATGTGCAATGCTGAATGTCGACTAGAGGGGTGTGAAGCTGCGAGGAATGGCACTGCACTCTCTGTAGTGATAGCGCTTAATGCAAAGCTTTGGCATGAGTTGGAGTGGTGTTTGTGATCCAGAATTCATCATCCAACATCAATACTTGACCTCACTAATGCTCTTGTGGCTGAATGCAATCAAATCCTCACAGCAATGTTGCATCATCTAGTGGAAAGTCTTCCCAGAAGAGTAGAGACTGTTATTGCAGCAAACTCTTGATTACTATTTTTGATTTTGGGAAGAAACATTGGACAAACATGTGTCTGGATACTTTTGAATTTGGAATTGGAGTGGCCATTTTATTATGCACATCTACCTTGTATCTGTAGTCATTGGGCATTTTAACACCTTCAATACTACCCAGTCCATCAATTGTGGTGGACCATTCTCAGTACAGCACTTCAATATCATGGCTACATTGAGAATAGTCCACTGACCAAGAATACCCAGACAACAGTGGTACTGTGCTCAAAAACCGACCATTTGTTTTATGTGTCACATGAGTGTGTGTCTCACCCCTTCTAGAGGTAAGTTCCAGGTCACATGGAAGTCATGGTTAATGTTAGTGGTGCTGCAGATGACCTGAAGCTCCTGATCCTGGATCAGTATCACATTCTCTGGCATGGACAGAGTGATCACTGGTACTGAGTCTGGAACTACACACATACACAGCCACAACCAATACAGCAAATCTAATTAATAATTGACAGAGATAGTTTATGTAATTTAATATACTACTCCAACACTCCAATATACCTCACTGAATTAAGTGACTAATGTGATGTCCCTGAAGCATTAAAGGACTGAAAGAATGTCTGACAGTCTTCATCTCTCTGGCTGTGTCCAGAACTACTATTATTCACTATTTAGTGCACTATTTCTGGAGCCTGCCATTTTGTAATGGTGTCCGAAAACAAACTCTTAAATATCTACAATGCACTGCGATAGGCAATGTACACTAGAGGTCTGTACCAGTATAATTTTTAGTTCTTTTTTGTTTAATGTATCTATCATACTTGTTGTATTTGAACTCTGCAAGTGATTTAGTAATGCTCTTAATTCATTGTTAGGTTTTAATTGGAAACCAAAGAGTGAAAAGGCCAACAGAAAATTATACAATCATTTTTCCCCTCTGAGATATTTAAGTAGATAAAGTCAAGCTAACTCTTCCATTCGTTAGGCCTTCAGGAACCACTAACCACTAACATACTTAGGAACTGACAGTGGAGTCAACCAATCATGTATTTATTTCCAATGGATGGGGCCAGTCTCAAGAAATAAAGAGATAGCTCTAGATCTCCTAGAAGTCCTAGATGCATCACTGAAGTGGTAGCCTGACCAGTATGTTTCGGTCAGCTGTTAGAAATGGACAACAGCAGTAGCTCTATGTCAGGGATCTAAAGGAATCACTATAAAAGTGCTATAAGGGCAAATATGTTAATATGCCTCTCGCAAGCTTCAAATAAAACACAGAATGTCTTTTACAAACTTCAAACGATCATGTTTAACCTAGAATGCTCAAAAATGTTCATGTAAATCACTGCTAGTTTGGTGCTAACAAACCAGAAAAATAGCTAGCAGAATTTAGCATTATTGTAGGCGTTTGACCAAGTTTTGACATCTATAGCCTGAGCTGAAGAACTAGCTTGCCTGAACCCAACATATACCTGTGACTTTAGAACGCACCGCTAAATTTGCAAATTTCTTCAAATAAAAATGAATCTATTACAAAAAATATTACTTTTAAGATAACATGTACACTGATATTTTGTAAATATATTGGTGCTGTCACATCAGAGCCTAGTACCATTTTTTTTAAATATCAGTTGTCCTTTACACTGTGTGATGACTTAATGACAAATGCAATAATATTGGCCCAAAATAACTTGGAATACAATCTTCTCACATTAACGTACATTTAAGGTAAAGAACTTTCCTTCTTCTGTAACTCCAGTACTTTGGGAGATACAAGGTTTTATTACAACAGTGATGATATTAAACTGACTGGGTAAAAAAACACTTTGTGTTGGTATTTTGATCCCTATTCCTACACTGGAAACATCAGGATTGGAAGTATCAATATTCCAGTATCAATAGGACCATCCCTACTACTGATTTTCCACTGCAGGGATAGTGATTAGAGGACCATTTAGAACACAGTCTCAGAGTCTAACTTTCTTGCTCTCCTCTATTCACAAACCTAGGCGCACGTCCACGTCGTACTGGTTCGACATCATGGTGACACCGCCCATGACACCAGTGCAAACATAACATCCCTCGAAAGCCTTGGACACATTGTGAATGGTGATGCCTTTTTGAGGATTGGTGCTGTAGGAGAGGTCAGCTGGCAGGGGGGCATCGGAGCAAGTGACTAGTGAGAGATCAGTCACGACCGGATCCGTCACCAGACACGGCAGAGTGCAGTCCTTCCCCTCTCTCACCAGCAGACCGTTCACCATGGAGCGAACAAACACATTCTCCAGATCTGATGGTGAGGGAAAGAGGGACAGCAGAACGAACAACAGCAGTTGATGACAGAAACATTGTGAGAGCTGAGAAGAGAAACCTAAAACAAGTCCATATTGGAATTTGCAAAGAAATATAGAGATTAGCTACAAAAGTTCTGGAAGAGTTTTATGGACTGATTAGACAAAGATTAACCTCTACCAAAGAGATGGAAAGGCCAATGTTTAGAAAAAGAAAGAATTTGCTCAAGATCCAAAACTTACAAGCATGGTGGAGGTAATATTATGGCTTGGGCTTGCATGGCTGCTTCTGGAACATGCTCACTAATCTTTATTGATGACGTTACTCATGATGGTAAAAGCAGAATGAATTCGGAAGTCTACAGAAACATTCTGTCTAACAATTTACAGAGAAATGCATCCAATCTAATCAAGAAGAACTTCAGAGAGAAACTGACAGGGGAAACACCCAAAAACAAACAAAAACTGAAAGAAGCTGTAGTAAAAGCCATGAAAAGCATCACAAAACAAGCATGTTTTAAAACTGACAACTGGCACCACATCAGCTTCTTATCTGCAAATGTAACGTCAGACTAGTTTGGGAGTTATTTTTTGGCAGGGCTGTGTTTTCTTATGAATCACTAACGGCATATGCAAATGAGAGAAAAGGGCAGTAGTGCATGATGGCATGTAAATGGTAAAACAGGAAATTAATCCTTGTTTATTATCGACAAAATGAGTTAATTGCTTTTAACCTTACAGTAAATCTGGTGGTGCGTTGTATGAATCTGGCCCATGGTCCCAAAACAGGTATTCTCCATTTTTCTTGTCTTTTAGTTTTTTTCCCCCTAAGGTCCACATATAGTGTTTGCATGGTTTTATGTAATAAACTGATGCAATTTATGTAATTTATATATCCTAAAATATATGTGTGTTAATTTTCATGACATCTGTTTTTATAGCTGGGTTTACATATATGACAAAAAGTATGAAGACTCCCCTTCTAATTACTGAGTTCAGGTCAAACACCTAAAAATCATCTATCCTCTCCTGCATCACTCACAAATCTGGGATTGGCGGATGCTAAGAGAACGCTACCTACTGGAATGCATATTGTCAACAGTAAATTTTGGTGGAAGAGGGGATAATGGTCTGGATTGTTTGTCAGCCACTGGGCTGACAAACAGCCATTTGTCAGCCACTGAGCTTTACACTGTTTACATACCACATTAAACTCTTCTTTTCCACAAATGATGAGTTCAGAAAACTGAAGTTTTCCATGGTACGGGCCCTTTAAATCTCAGCATATATGTGGCAAAGGCAGCAAATCAGTCACAGATTGTACCAAACACTAGAAATACATAGACAGTTACAGGTCAAATATGAAAAGCAATTCATAGCCACAATATTTGCATATCTCCTTTTTGAATCACTTTAAACAGTAACAGAGCTAAATCAAACACAGCCGCCAAGAAAAACAAAAGTCTACTCTGAGGTGATGTTTAAACCTTTAGTCAACAGTTATCCCTTCATTCTAGCTTTAGGGGCCTATTCAGAATTTAATCTTGTTCCAGGAGCCAGGAGTGTGGGAAAGAGAACAGTAAGAAACAAATGTACACATTCTCCCACACATATCGATGTCTTTAAGAGAACGTTATGCAAATATACACACACCTTTCACATAAACGTAAATGGAACTCTTCTCTCCTGTTTGAGTGTTTTCACAAGTGTAGCGGCCCATGTGCTGTGGCTGGGTGGAGACAAGGCTGATGATGACGGCCCCATCTTCCTCTCTGTCTCCCTCAATCCTCTTGACCTTCTCCCGCTGCCATCGCACTATACCTGCACCCGTTTCCACATCGTCTTGACAGCGCAGCTCTAGTTGCCCACCCTTCAGAATTACCAGGTGAGGACTATCAGGAGTGATGATTGGTTTGGACAAGCCTGGAACAGAAAATGCATCATTCAGTTTATGCTAGGTTTGTTTGCTTTCTTCACTTTCAAAACGGCCATAAGTTACAATTTTGTTCTGGGTCAATAAGATGTAAGATAATCCACTTGCATAAGGAAGGGAAAAGTCAAAGGAAACAAGTGAAAAAACAGGAGTTTCCAAAAGTGGGATTCAAAAATTCTTAAAAGATATACAGAAAATGAGACTGCTAACAACAGTCCAAGACCTGGTAGACCACCAATACTGTCATCATCACATAAACAGTACTTTACGCTTTCTTCTTTGAGAGAGGGGAGAAAATCAAGCTCCAGTCTTGCTTCAGATCTGAAAAAATCCACAGGTGTTTCATCCTTCCATTGTGAGAAGACAAGTTACAGCTACAAGAAGAAGGCAATTCGCAAATCAAACAAAGAAGCTGCTAGTATCCTCAGAACAATGGACTGACCAGCCTAGAGCCCAGACCTCAAAATCACTAAATAAGTATATTCTTACTGGCAATTACATTAACAATGGGTGGTCTCTGACTTTTGACCAGTACTGTACAAAATAAATGGTTAGCAAGTAAATCAAACTTCACAATGCTCAGGTTCTTGTTGAAAGATGCGCCCACCACATGGAAAAAGAAAGCATGAGGTGTAGAGTATATGTATCTTGCTTTATCTTTGCTATTTTAAAAAGCACACAGATCACATAGAAGCACCTCAGGCAAATACTTCTCATATCTGCCACCACGTTTAGCATTTTTCAACGACAGAGAAGATTAGAAGAACACTAGTTTGGTTCCAGATATCTTCTTTGATCAGCCAAATCAGGTATTGGATGGCAACTACAATACTGGACGTCCTAAAGGAGACGTTTGGAAATGGTTAAACGAACACCCTGCAAAATCACAACATATTATATTAACAATTTTTGGTTTTATTCTAATATTGGTGTTCTGAACAAATACACGTACAATCCAGTTACAACAAAACATTTACAATCCAGTTAAATAGCTTTTGAACTATAATCTTCTCAGGTGCCTAAGACGTTTGCACAGTACTGCACATCACATCTGATAAACTCATATATTGTCTAGAATCCAGAGTTTCCCACTTGCAAATATAACTTCCTTGTATGTACTAGGGCAATTTATTTCTTTCAGAGCATTGGCCACTCAGCATTATTCCACTCTCTGTGGTTAGTGTTGCTGCTTAGTGGTCAAACAATTGTATGTTTGATCCCAAGTGTGTACTGTGGGTCACAGACCTTGCACAGGATGCTTAAAAAGCCTGGTTCCTAAAGGTCCTTTCCAGTAAGTACCACAGTTTCCTAAGTGGTACAGTTATGCTGTCTCAGGACACATTCGATCAGTCAGGTCCAGCAGAACATCCGGCTGAAAATTAACTGAAATACTGGGCTTAGGAAAGTCTCTTTTAACAGAAATTTAATCAGCCTAATATCACTCATATAAAATGCCGTGCTGTGTTGTTGCATCTTGACAGCAGGAGCACCAACAATCTTATCAGAGCAATCACGCAGATATAGGCATATAACTGAATTTAAACTCTATGAACATTTACATACAGCAGTGTGACTCAAACAGCATTTTAGAGGCTTCAGATACTCATTGGTATTTCTAAACAAGTACTCATTCTTAACATCACCCTTAAAAACAATATGTGAAATGCTTTTTGGTCGTCCAAGTGAAGACATATGCTTCAGTTTAATCAATGGTTTTTCAGTTTAAGTTCACAACGGCTTTGCTAGAGTGTCTGTCCATCAAAACCATAACCCCTTCTGTAAACTGCAAAGCAATTCGTGACTTGCATTTAACTGACTCACTTCTTGACTTGCGCTCAACTGACTTACCTTATCTAACAGCCTGCTTGGTTCAAACTCACACTTAAATGACTCATGACTTGACTCAAACCTATACTTAACTGACTCGTGACTTGACATAGATTCATAGTTAACTGACTCGCAACTTGGACTCGCATTTAACTGACTCGCTTTTCGACTGGGACTCACGCTTAAATGACTTGCTACTCTCCTCAGACTCGCAGCTAACTAACACCGTACTTGACTCAGATACCCAATTTAGTTAACCAGCACTGACTCACGACTTGAAATGAACTCATACTTAACTGCCCTGCAACTTCAATTTAACTTGCACTTCAGTGACTCATGACTCGAGCGTTAAGATGCAAAATTTCAGCCAGAGGAAAAACAAGCATGAAAACAACGTATTAATGTTGCAGTGCCAATCTTACAGTAAACAACTACAACCTTTAGTTTTCAGCCTCACATGTGTGGTTTTACCTTTCAGTTTTACTACAATCATTATACTACAACATTCTTATTATTATCATTATTATCAGTCATTATTATTTTACTACAATTTGCATTATGTGTATGATCGTGAATTTACACTATTACCTTGTCTTCTAGTCATGACCAAAGCCTGGAGGCAGAATTCATTCATTATAGAAAACCAAGGTACATGCAGTAAATGCAGCATTTAAAGGAACAAAGGCAAAACTAGCAAGAGTTAACAGCTAATCTAACCAAAATTCCAGTAAGTTAAAGATCACATTCTTCTGAAACTTACTAATACTCCAGCTGGCTTAACTATCTCACTATCTAGCAAACTCACAAACTACTTACAAACAGACACACTGCCAACTGTTCCAAGTTGTTCTTCCCCTTTATTTTAAGCACATTACTTACTGTGTGTAGCGCTTCAGTTCTGTCCTTCAGACTGAAGTTTTTTTCTGTTTTTTCTGTCAATTTGAAATATTGAATCTTGAATATCAAATATCAAATTGAACAACGGTCTGATGTTGATGTTGTCTGCAGATAGCTATATATGATTTTGATACCATTGTGCATCCCCAATTAACAGTAACTGTTCAATCTAAGGGCCTTTGCTGATGAAATGTATTATAGTTTAGTCTATTTTTAATTATTTATATACTTTTATTTACAAGTTTCTGAATAGAAACAGAGAAATTAATTCCACATTAATGAACAAATATTTGTCTGTTTCAATTATCTGGGTCTGCCCCAATAAACAAGGGGGTGGGGCTTGAGAGTGAAGAGCTGGAAGTATATTTACTGAATGCAGCGGCTTACAAACTAATCAAGAAGCGCTGGTGCTATTAACCCCTTAAGTAGCTAGTTTCATCACACACTTCCTAACCTATGAATAGCTCAGCCAGTTTGCTCTTAAGTCCCTGTTGTTACTGAATAATAAGCCTTAGTGTATAATAAGCCTGGGATTTTCAGGGGTTAATATGTATACTGAATGTAATTCTAGACAGCCAAACAGCAGTCTGGAATTTGGAATAAGCATGCCCAGTGGCTCACTGATGCTGATTAGACTGTCTACATAGATATTAAAATTTGGTATTGAATTATATATCATTTGTCTAAAGCATTGAAATTTGGTAGGAGCCCTAGTTGCCAAATTCCAACTACTATGCCAGATGTAGACAGATCTATGACTATGTTTAGTAGTTTAGTAGTACTGGCACTAACATATCTATTCACCAGCTTACTCCATCCTCACCATGAACCTAACATCTTCATGACCGCAACAAAACAGAACAAGCAGAACCTGCAAGATCATCCATTTCTGGGCACTGTAAGATGGATACAGTAAGACACTGAAGACAACCTGAAATGGAATCATAATGTAATTTCCATATTGTTACCATACTTATTATCTTATTATGCATCTAGGCATCTGAGTTAGCTGAGCACTTTCACTCAGACATAGGGTGAGGGTGGAAGGTTATAGGTCTTTGAAATGTTACATGATAAACTGTGACTTTAAAAATGCTGGCTCCTAATGTTTGGCTTGAACCAGCCTCAGGAAAAGTCAGAAAAGGCATTACTCAGCATTTTCCTCTGTCTAATGGAGGTAGCTCTGGGGTGAGAGCTCCTGCTAAGTAATCGAGCAATTGAAGGTTTGATCCCAAGTGAGTGCTGTGGTACAAAGACCTTGTACGTAACGGTTAAAAAGCCTGGTTCCTAAGGTCCTTTCCCATTAAGTACTGCTGTTTCCTACATGGCACCTCTGCTGTCTCAAGATACATTCACTCATTTCATCAGCTCCAGCAAAATGTCTGCCTGGATATTAAGTGAAATCCTATTGGAAAGGCTTTTGTATAAGAAATGTATCAGCCTAATATCTCTCATATAACCCATGTAAAATCCACCAGAAACACAAAAGTGCTATATTGTTGCACACCATCAAATTTGTCCTGGCAGCAGAAGAAACAACAACCTTATGCTATGCATCCATTAGCGCATCTTTCTGTTCACTGCTGCTGGACGTTTCTATTTTGCTATGGAAATGAAGGAACCATATTAAGCATGTGTGTGGAAGTATCGGATATGCTATTTGTTGTTGCCCAGAGGTTTACAGTGAGACTAAAATACAGACTTTTTATGCTGCTATAATTTTCAGAATGCATTTTCAGAATGAATCAACATCTTTCCTCCAAATCTTCACTGTCATCAGTTCTGTATAATACCAGTTTAGCTGGGCTCCGTGTCTATACCACTACATCATCCAAGGCTCTTGCAATCAGAAGGATCCTTCAAATACAGTTGAGAACTGCATTTACATTCTGACTATTTTCGAGGACGATGACATGATAAATGTTCAAGAGAAAGGCCAGCAGATGAATCCAACTACTACACATTGTTTAAAAGACCAGTTTAGTATGTAGTAACATATACAATATGCTATTTATTTGGTTGTATTTGTTTAAGTGGGTGTAAACTGAAAGCAAGGTGTGCCCCTGCTTTCATTAACAGTTTTTGCTTGCATGACAGCATTTAATTACAGACAGTGTTTTGTTGCCACATCTTACATCATTCAAGTCAATGTTTTGCTTGATTATCATTCACTTCAACTTTATTTTCTCCATTAAATGTTGTGTGGCAACTCCTTTCTGATGATGTGACCAAGTGGTCTTGGTAGATCATTCCATTTTGCATTATG